GAAATGAGGGGCCAGAAGCAAAATACACAAACTAATCAAAAATAGAAAACTTTATTCATTCGGAGTGGTGGAGGGGGACCTGGAGTGTTTGTGGAGTTTCTGGAGGAGCCCCTCAGCCCCAAAGTCAATTGTCATTGTGACCAAGGGGGTTCACCTGCAGACTCTCTTCATTAGGTGGTGGAGTCAGGAAAAACTGAGTTCAAATCCAGCCTCAGGCATTTACTAGTTCTGTGACCCCAGGAAAGTCACTTAACCTATATTTTCCTCAGTTTCCTCAACTGTAAAATGAAGATAATAATAATAATGATAACACCTACTCCCCTGGGGTTGTTTGCCTCAGTTTCCTCAACTGTAAAATGATGATAATAATAATAATAATAACACCTACTCCCCCAGGGTTGTTGTGAGGATCAAATAAGATAATATTTTAAAAGCACTTTTAAACCTTAAAGTATTAGCTATTATTATTATTTATTATTATTATTATTATTATTAATTACTTTCTTGCTATGTGACTTTGGTCAAGTTGCTGCCCCTCTCTGGGGCTTACTTCTATATTTAGGAGATGGTGACAGCGATCTTTGCTTAACCAAATTCCCCAGGAGTGGTGGGAGGCTAGGAAGAGGTATTCCAAGAGAAAGGGCTTCCTTTCAACAACATTCTTACACTGTATTGCTCTTTGTATGTGTGTGTGACTTTAGTTACCCAAGGAAGGTAACTTGTGCCCCTCACTGGAGCAGCTAGGTGACAGAGTGGATAGAGCACCAGCCTTGCAGTCATGGAGGTCCTGATTTCAAATCCAGCCTCAGACACCCACTAGCTGTGTGACCCCGAGCAAGTCACCTAACCCTGATTGCTCCCTCCCACCAAAAAAAAAAAAAAGACTATTTCTGAGAGCAGGGACCCCTTCCCTTTTTCCCCCAACCCAACCACTCAAGGGGCCTCAGGAATGAGGGAACATGAGGCAGTGAGATAACTGAGTGTCAGAAAAACTGGGTTCAGATCCCAGCTCTGTCTCTTTTTATACAATCCTGAACAAGCCTTCTCTCGGTCTCAGTTCCACTCTTCTGTAAAATGCAGGAGTTGGGGTAAGTGGTCTCAGAGACCCTTTTTAGCACTGCCATTTTTGGAACATAGCATTAGAGTTGGAAAGGACCTTTCAGGCCATTTAATCCAACCCCATCTTTTTACTGATGAAGGAAACTGAGTCACAGAGAAGTGACTTGCCCAAGGTCACATAGCCAACAAGTGTCCAAGGCTCAATTGTAAACCCATGTCTTTCTGACTCCAAGTCCAACTTTCTCCATGTAGTCTCTCCTATGTTAAAACTGTATATTCTGAATTCTAGCATTCCATGTTCTAAAGAACATTTTCATGTTCTAGTCGTATTTAATGAGGATAAGTGGCGGTGCATTAGTCTAAGGATTTGGTTTCAAATCCCAGTTTTGTTACTACCTATGTTACTTCTCTGGGTCTCAGTTTCCCCATCTATAAAATGAGGGGGTTGGATTAGATAACCTCTAAGGTCCCTTCCGGCTGTGATCCATGCGCCATCTTAGACCCCTCCCTCCAACTTTTGACTCTCATATCAGTGTTTCCCAGGAGTACCGACGGGGTGCACTGAGGCATCCACACTCCCCTGGATCACTGGGAATCAGAGATCGTATTTCCGAGACACTCTGCTGAGCTTAGAGTGGGGACAGTCTGTGGCATGGACCCAAGGACAGAAAGCTGACCCTCTGGCAAATAGAAACTAAAGTAGTGGCCTCTGAACATTCACTAACCCACTCCAATCCTAGTGACAATAAAGGGTCCCTTCTCTCCTTTACTCCATGGTAGGCCGTTGCTCACTCCCATTGTACATGGAGGATCCCTACTGGCTCGCCATTTCCAGCACCACCGCCCATGCGTCCTTTCAACATTGCCATGAAAATGGGGCAGGGCTGGGATGGGAGAGGACGTAGAGCCTGTTGGGGCAGAGAGGGTCCCGAATTCAGGGCTGTCTGTCCTGCAGGAGGACGGCCAGGAAGGGGCCCTAGGCTCCCTGGTGCTGGAATCGGTAGATGAGCTTCCGGAGCTCGTCCCAGAAGAGCAGGCTGAGGATGGTGTGGGGGCCCAGGCGCAGATAGGCAGGGCCCAGACCCTTGTAGAGAGCCTGGGGACCCTCTGCCCGTATGATCTTCACCAAGCAGTCAAGGACCCCTCCGTACAACTGGCCCTGGGGATAGGACAGGAAGGCAGGGGTGTCACTCACCTTATCCTCCGCATGCTCTGACCCATTCTCTACCTTAAGCTTTCTTCACCTTTTTTATGAACTGGACATTCCTTTGGCCACCTGGTAAAGCCCCTGGATGCCTTCTCAGAATTATATTTTTAAATGCGTAAAATAAAAACATAGGATTACAGAGGATGAGGACACTAATGTCATTTTCCCCCTATTTTTCCTTTCATGGACACCTCCCCCCACCAAGAAAACTCCAAATGGGGTCACGAGAATCAGACACGACTGAAATGACTGAACAAGAAAGACTCAAAAGTCTCCAGTGGTCTCTGATCACCCACCAAAAAAAGAAAGCATCAACCTCTAACCCTCACAGTCAAGTCAGAGAAGCTGGGTTCAAATCTTTACTCTGCTACTTACTATCTGTAGGACCTTGGGCAAATCACTTTCTCTCTCAAGGCCTGAGTTTTCTCATCAATTAAATGAGGTATTAGCTGCTTTTCAAGACTCCATCCAGATCGAAGTCCCAGCATCCTACAAGGTAAGGGCCCTCCCCAAACTGATTCCAAGCTATTTGGCTACCCTTATCTGACATTAATTCCCCTTGAGTATTTTCCATTCTACCCAATGAGATAAACCTCCATCCCTGTTCTCATCCTACTCTCTCCTTCCTCTGTGTGCCTAGAACAGAATCTTCCTTCCCATTCTGTCTCCTTGAGTCCCTCCCTCCCTTCAAGGTCCATCTCAGGTGCTAGCTTCTCCACTGAGTCTCCCCTGATTTCTCATCCTCCAGGGGACTGTGACCCCTTTCTTCCTATTTCCCTAACTGGGGCCTCTTCTTTGCACATCCTATTTCATTCTCCTTGGCATGTGAACTCCTCCTTTCCCCCAGAGAAAGCAATGTTAGAAATCTTAGAAAGAACCTTGCAGGCCAGAAGGCCTGAGTTTGAATCCCAACTCAGGTGCTACTTACTATACTTGTGGGACCTTGGCAAAGTCACTTAATCTTTGGGCTTCAGTTTCTCCATAAATGTAAAATAAGGCTAACAATAGCTGTTTTCCTGTCTACCTCACAGGGCTGTTTGTGAAGATCCAGGGAAGTCATGTCTGCAAAGTGTTACATAAAGATCAGCTATGGTTAGATTGTAAGCTCCTTGAGGGCAGGGTCTTGGTCATATCTATATTTCCATCCCAACAGAAGGTAAGATCCTTGAAGGCAGGACCTTGTCATATCTACATTTCCTTCCCAGTAGAATGTAAGCTCCGTGAAGGCGGGGCCTTGGTCATATCTGCCATATCACTTCCTGACCATTTCCAAACTATGCTAGCTACACACTGGCCCTCCTCCTACTGAGAACAGGACTCAGTCTCCTGGAACCCTGAACTTGTGATGGGTGAATTTGCATCTTACCCTGCCCAGATCCAGGCCTCCCTGGCAATTTCCAGCCAGTTCCAAACTCTACCTCCTCTTTATGGGTCATCGTCTTCTGTTAGAATGTAAACTCCTTCAGGGCATGAACCATCTTGCTTCCTTATTTTTGTATCCCTAACACTTAGCACTGTGCCTGGCACATAATAAGCATTTGATAAACGTTTGGTGATCAAATGATTGGACCCCAGCTCAGATTACACTGCCTTGCACTTGACAGGGATTGAATAAATGTTCATTAAATTTAAGGATGGCGGAGAGGGTCCTGGGTTTCTTTGGCCAAAGAATTCACCATCCAGGGGTCAGCCTGCTGGGAATGAGAATCTCAGGACTTAGCATCAGACAGTAGGCCTGGACTGTTGCCAGGATTATACCTGAAGCCAGCTTCAGGTGGTGAGAAAAAAAGATGGGCTGGGCCTGGGAGGAGAATGTTGGGAAATGACCTGGGTGACCTGTTGCAGATGGGGAAGAGTGCAGGGAAGGACTGATGGCCAGTTCCCATGCTGCACTGGGATCCATGCAATGTCAGGAGGACAGGAGAAAGGCCTCCAGCATGTTGGCTGGATCCCCATGGAGAACATGGACAAAAGTGCCTCTGGATGAGAAGCTCTAGATGGGTTACCACATCCATAAGTTTTAGATTCAGGGAGTCTTCAAGGGTCACGGTCTCTACTGCAGAGATAGGAAGTGGTAGGGTCCAGGGGAAAGACCATGGAATTTTAAAGTCAAAAGCCCTGGGTTCAAATCCCAAGTCCATTCACTACTACTACCTGTGTGACGTTGGTGAAAATTACATCTCTCTGGGCCTCACTTTCCTCATCTGCATAGTGAGGAAAGGGTTGGAACTCAATAAGCTCTGGGATTTTTCTGACTTAGACAGATGATCCTACAGGTGTATAGTATATCTATGTCTGTCTGTCTGGCTGGTGTGTAGAAAGACATCCCCCTCCATCTCCTACCAGCCCTCCTAAATTCGGTCCGCATGTCTTCACTCTCTCCATCCCCTTCCCATGTCCCCTCCAATCCCATGTGCTCACCTTTCCTGTTGGGTCCACAGGCTGATTGTACAGGCGGGTGCTGACCACATCAAATGGTGTCATCACAATGACCACTGCCACACTGCTGATCATACCCCCAGCCAGGGCCACAAGCCAGCTGTCCTTCTGAAACCACTGCAAGGAGACAGGAAGCCCCACGAACTGACCCCAGGATCCTCCTCTCCCCTCTAAAACCTCAACCCTCACCCCACTTTATAAAACTCACTCAATATCCCTCCTGGTGAAAGATGGGACCACAGATTGGAGTGAAAAGAACCTGCTCAGGAGACCTGTGTTCTAGGCCTACCACTGACTCTCTGTGTGACCTTGGGAGAGTCATTTAATGTCTTTATAAAAATGAGGAGGTTGCATCAGATTGGCAAAATTGACCAAAAAAGAGAAAACGACAAATGACAGAGGGGCTGTGGGAAAACAGGAACGCTAATGCCCTCTTGGTGTAGTTGTGAACTAGTCCAACCATTCTGGAAAGAAACTTGGAACTACATCTAATAAAACTATTAAACTGTGCATACCCTTTGACCCAGCAATACCACTACTAGGTCTATAGACCAAAGAGATGAAAGAAAGAAAAGGACCCACATGTACAAAAATATTTATAATAGCTCTTTTTGTGGTGGCAAAGAATTGGAAACTAGGGGAGTGCCCATCAACTGGGGAATGGTTGAATAAGTGCATGGATGTGATGGAACATTATTATTCTAGAAGAAATGATGAAAGGGATGGTTTCAGAAAGACCTGGGAAGATTTATGTGAACCGATGCAGAGCAAAGTGAGCAGAACAAAAAAGGGAGAAAAATTTATAAATGACAATAATATTATAAAGACAAACAATTTTGAGAGACTCAAAAACTGTGATCAACACAATGACCAATCACCAGTCTGAGGATTCATGATGAAACACGCCACCCCACTCCTGTTGGAGAGCTCATAGAGTCAGAGTGCAGACTGATACACACACACATACACATTCATACATATATCTGATGACGTGGCTAATTTGGAAATTTGTTTTGCTTGGCTATAACTGTTTGCAATAAGGGTTTTATTTTTCTTTCTCATTGTGGGGTGGGGAGAAGGAAAATTTTCATTGAAGGAAAAAAATTTTTAAATGAGGGTTGGAATAGAGAATAATAATAATAGCAGATGTTTATACGATCCTTTTAGGGGCACTAGGTGGCCCAGTGGATAGAAGTTAGGGCCTAGAATCAGGAACACTCATCTTCCTGAGTTCAAATCTGGCCTCAGACATTTACTAGCTGTCTGACCTTGGCAAGTCACTTAACCCTGTTTGCTTCAGTTTCCTCATCCAAAACGAGCAGGTAAAGGAGGTGACAAAACACTGGTATTTTTGCCAAGAAAATCCCAAATGGGGTCATGAAGAGTTAGACATGACTGAACAACAACAATACTGCCCTCTTCGTTTTGTAAGGCATGTTATTGGTTTTTGTATTTATGTTGGCCCTGGAGGCAGGTGCTATTATTATCCGCAGTTCTCCGGTTAAGTGACTTATCAAGAATCACACAGCTAGTAAGTACCTGAAGCAACATTTAAACCCAGTTCTTCTCCAAATCTTCCCCAAGTGAACTACCTTCCATGTCTTCCTAAGCCCTCCTAAGCTGGAAAAATAGCTCCTTGGGACTTTTTTCTTGACTTTTCCAATCAGAATTCTGTCTGGTGCACTTTCTAGGTCTTTGTGGAAGAGTTTTAGTAGGGAGCTAGGCTGTACTGCTTCCCCTAGTTCCGCCATCTTGATTCAGCCCCACTGTGCCCTGTCCACTAGGTGACACCAACTTTTAGCTAAGGTCCTTGAGCTCAAAAATACCATGATTTTTTTCCAGAAGCTCTGGACAGGGGGTTCCTGAAACCTAGATGCTAGCTCCATGTTTGACTATATAACTTTGGACATACTGTTTCTCTCGCCTGGGCCTCAATTTCCTCACTAGTAAAACGGTGATAATAGTCCTTGTACTACCTGCCTCACTGAGTGGTGCACAAAGTGCTGTCAAGTTTAAATTGCTTTAAAAATGTGAGCTGTTGGGGCAGCTAGGCGGCGCAGTGGATAGAGCACCAGCCCTGGAGTCAGGAGGACCTGAGTTCAAATCCAGCCTCAGACCAAACACTTGACACTTACTAGCTGTGTGACCCTGGGCAAGTCACTTAACCCCAATTGCCTAACCAAAAAAAAAAAAAAGAATGTTTAGAAATGTGAGCTGTTGAAGGGAGTTGGGGACCCCAGAACCCCTCACCTCGTGATCCTGTACCCACACTTTGGCTGAGGCGAAGGTGGCCAGTTGGGCGGCTGATCCTACCATGACCCTGGGCACGGCCCCGCCGACTCCTCGCCAGAGACCGGGGATGCCCTGCTGCCTCCAGATGGTTTCCAGGGCACCAAGGGCAGTCTGTGGAGAGAGAAAGAAAGGAGGGAGGATAAGCTGGCTGGCCTTCTGCCCATCCTGGGGGCAGCAGGGCCTTGGGGGACGAGTGGTCCCGCTCCCCTTTTGTAGCCCCTTGAGGCTCTAGCCTGGGGTCCAAGAGGCAGGCCACAGTACTCAGCTAGGTGGGCTTCTTGGGGAGGGGGCTCCTCACCTGGTGCTGGTGCTGATGGCCCACAGCCAGGGGAGCTGCTGTCTTCGCTTGCAGCTGTGTTTTGACCTGGGAAGACAGATCACAGATCTAGGGCAAGAACAGGTGTCTGAGAGCATCCAAGACCATCCCCCTACTTGTGAAGAACCTGAGACTCAAAGAAACTGTGATTTGCTCAAGATCACATATGTGGTAAGAATAGTATCATTGGAATCTGAACTCAGGTCTTGTGACTATGAGCTCTGTCTTGGTATGCAGAGCAGATTGTGTGGGGAGAGTGGAAGCAGGGGACATCCCCAGCAGGCCACAGGCCAAGGAGCCGTTGCATGCTCTCCACAGAGGAAAATGTGCATGGGGCAGAGGACCCCTAAATTCTCCCAGTCCTTGCCCCTAGGGGATCTCTGACTGAACCCCATAATCTCAGAGTGAGAAAACCTCAGAGGGCTCCTAGTCCCACCAATATCTGGGATTCCTCTTTCAACATCCCTGACAGGAAGTCACCCTTCGAAGACCTCTAGGAAGGGACAACACTTTGGAACAGCTCTAATGATAGGTACAGAGCGCTAGACCTGGAATCCTAAGATCTGAGTTCGAATTTGACCTCAGATACTTACTAGATGTGTGATCTTGTGCAAGTCATTTCACTTCATCTATAAAAAGAATAGCTCTTACCTCACAGGGTTGTTGTGAGGATCAAATGAAATATTGGTAAAGTGTTTGGAAAACCGTAACTCACTACGTAAATGTTAGCTATGATTGTAGGGGTTAGACTTGTGATTTCACTGATATTGGGAACTCCCAGACATGGAAACTCCCTTTACTGATGCAGGTTGGCAACTCCTTCACAACGTAAGAGCTGCTTGGAGTGCTGAGAGTTGGAGACTTGGCCAGGATCACACAGTGAGCACATGTCCGACTTGAGGGCTGTAACATGAAATCTGCTTCTCAGAATTCATCAGTCGCTCCCTGGTTTTACAGAGAACCAGTAATGGCCTTGGCGTCAGAGGAGCTGGGTTCAAATCCTACCCTTCCTACCCACCTGGCCTCCTTAACCTCCCTGGGCCTCAGTTTCCTTATCTGCAAAAGGAGGGAGTGTGATAGATGACCACTGAGGACCCTCCCAACTCTACAGCCACAGTCCTAAGTCATATAATCTCAGTATTAGGACCCTCAGATGTCATCTGGTCCAGGAAGACCCTCAGTAACTAGCCTGATAAGGGGTTTTCCAGTCTCCATTCATTCATTCATTCAATAAACATTTATTAAGCTACCTAATAAAACATTTATTAAACCACTATGTGCCAGGCACTACGCTAAGTGCTGAGGTTACAAAGAGGCAAAAGCTTACGTTCTAATGGGGAATTCAACATGCAAATAAACATCTACAAAGAAACCTCTATACAGGATAAATAGGAAATAATTAAGAGAGAAAGCACTAGAATTAAGAAGGGTTAGGGAAGGCTTCCCAGAGAAGGTAGGATTTTAGTTGTGACTTAAAAGAAGCTGGAAGACCTCCAGTGGTGAACATTCTAAACCTTCCCCTCCTTGGGTAACCTATTTTATGTTGGGACAGCTGTTAGGAAGATTTTCTCCATCTTGAGCCAAAATCTGCCTCTCTGACACTTTCACCCATTCTTCCATTCCTCCCGGGAGGAGCACAAGATTTGGAATCAGAAGACATGGGTTTGAATCCTGGCTGGGTGACTCTCTACTTACGTGATTTTGGTCAAATCACTTTCCCCTCTCTCTGGATATCAGTTTCTTTATCTGTGAAATTTGAGGGATGGTTGGACTAAATCAGGGGTTCTTAACCTTTTTTATGTCATGGACCCCTTTGCAGTCTGATTAAAAACCACAGGCTCCTTCTTAGAGTAATTTATTTTAAAATTCATAATTGGAGGAAATGCTAAATTTCGGTTAAGGTTGGTGAAAATAAAGATTAAAAAAAAAACAAAACAACTATTCCCCTCCTATCTAAACTCATGAACCTCTTGGAATTGGACCCCCAAGTTAAGAACCCCAGGTCCTGTAGGGTCCCCTCCATCACTGCTGTCCTTTGTTTAGAGAGGGGGAAGGCAGTGAAGGCCCCCCCACCCAGGCTACTCACCAGGTACGCCGGGCTCCCAACGAAGGCTCCCAGAGCTCCGGCCAATGCCCCGGCAGCCACAGTGCCTCCGTGGTACTGGGTGAGGCCAGCCTCCAGGGTCAGGGAATAGCAGTAGAATCGTACTCCATTCATGAGGCCCTGGTAGAGCAGGGCAGCTCCCAGCCCCTTCTGCAGTCCCCAGAGCCCATCAGCCTGTGCCACCGTGCCCACAGACCGCAAGAGTCCCCGGTAGGGCCGGGCATATGTCCCCCTGGCCTGCAGCTCACCCTGCAGCTGCAGCCTTGTCTTCACCACCTCCAGGGGATTGGTGAAAACACAGGCGAGACAGCAGGCTGAAGCACCCAGTACAAGGTCCATGGCTGGGGACACAGACACAGGCACAGCCCTGCTGGCCACAGGACTCTCCATGGCCCCTCTCTGGCTCAGGGGACAAGAGCAACTATGTCTGAGGCAGGGGCATGGGCTCCGACGTGCCCTGCCTCAGGGCAGAGAGGTTGAAATGGCCACAGGCAGTGGCTCTAGTTACAGGCAGGGCACAAGACAGAGGGGCCAGAGGGCTAGGACCGGGAACACAGGACAGGGGGCGGAGGGCTAGAGACACATGGGATAGATAGGCTACTGAAGGTTGGGAACAGGTGAAGAGAGGGGTAGGGATGGTGAAGAGAAGGCAGGCTCAGGGAAGAGAGGACAGGGGAAAAGGGAAAGGGGGGCAGGGGACAGAGGGGAGGACACTCCAGGTAGATCCAGATCTTGTAGGCGACAGCAGTGCCCTGGCTCACCAAGCTCAAGCGCCCTCTGTCCCACTGGCTCTTCTCTCCAGCCCAGCCAATGCCCACTCAGGCAGGAACCCAACCTGGGTGCCAAGGCGCTCCCACTGCCCCAGCCCTGGCCAATCCCAGGGGCCGCCGCTCCTCATACCTCCCTAGCTTGGGGGAGGTGCCTAGGCCCTGGGATCTGGAGGAAAGGTCACTCCAGGGCGGGGTGAGGATGGGCAGAGAAGCTCCGAGAGCAGGAGGGAGGGAGGAGAGCAGAGGAAAGTCTAACCAGCCCAGTCAACCTCCCTCGCTCCCTCCAGCTAGGTTGCACAGTAGCTAGAGCTCTAGACCTGGGGGTCAGGAAGAGCTGGGGTCAAATCCACACTCAGACACTTTACTACCTGTGTGACCCTGGGCAAGTCACTTTGCTGCTACCTGCCTCAGTTTCCTCAGCTGTAAAATGGGGATAACAATAGTATCTACCTCCAATAGGGTTGCTGTGAGGATCAAATGAGATAATGTTTATCAAGTGCCTGGCACATGGTAGGTGCTTTATGTTTTTTTCCCTCCCTTCCCTCTTTGCCCACTTTTCCCATGATCTAACTCTTGAACCAGATTTTCTTCAAGGGAATCTCCTTAGTTCACCCCAGACCTTGAATAGGAATCTTGTCTACACCACTGACAAGTGGTCACCCAGCTTCTGTTTGGGGACCTCTAGGGATGAGGAACTCATTACTTGACTCCTCTCTGGACAAGTTAATTCCATTTTAACTGGTAGTTATTCTCTAGGGGCAGCCAGTATCTGAGTCTGACACCCCCACCCATTGATAGAGCCTCTCCTTGCAACCCTGGCATTGAAAGCAACCAGGGAGCCTCCTTGCCATCCCCCCCTTTCCGAAAGATCCTCAGATTCTCCTCATATGGCCTCCAGTCCTTTCTGCATCTTGGCCTGCTCCTCTGGATGTATGTGAGATAATATGTGTAAATATTCTATACATGTGAAATATATGAGATAATACATAAAGCACCAAGCCTGGCACATGCTGTCTAACTCTCCATGACCCTATTTGGGGTTTTCTTGGCAAAGATTCTCAGTGGGTTGCGATTTCCTTCTCCAGCTCATTTTGTAGACGGGGAAACTGAGGCAAACAGGGTGAAGTGACTTGCCCAGGGTCACACTGCTAGTGTCTCAGGCTGGATTTTAATTCAAGTCTTCCTAACTCCAGTTCCCGCGCTTTGTGCACTATGGTGCTCCCTAGCAGCCTCTACCTACCTATCTGGCTCTTACCTATCTTTCTTCCCCATTTAAGGACTATGTTTTAACCAGGCTGGCCTCCCAACTCTTCTTCCAACACCTCCCGCCTGTGTGACTTTGCATGGGCTAGTCTCCTGCCTGGCATATATTTCTTACACCTCTTAAAAGCCCTGACTCCCAGGCTCAGCTGGTCACCATCTCCTAATTCCTGGTCCTTCTGAAATTACCTTCTATTGACCATTTGTTTGCACCTCGTATCTACCTCCTGCAGAATGTAAGCTCTTTGAAGGCAAGAACTATGATTTTTTTTTCATTGTATCCCAGAACTTGGTCTGGTTCCTGGCACATAGTAGGTATAAGTCAATCAACAATCAACAAATACCTACTATGTGCTAGGAACTATGCTATGTGATGGGCAAAAAAAAGCAAGAGACAGTCTCTGACCTCAAGGAGCTCACAGTCAAATGGGGAGTGAGTGATAAAGGTGACAAATTGATGTTTGTTCAAATAGCAATGTCTTTACTTGTGTAACATCTCCTCTTGGCTGTGTGGTGTCTGGTACTGAATACACCCTTACCCCAGAGGGGTCCTGGCCAGGATAGGGGGTAATAGGGCTCTTAATCTCTTGTTGTTTCCTGGTTACCCTGTCTGTAGTTCTATTGATCACATGTTGTCTCCCCCACTGGACAGTGAGCTCCTTGAGGGAAGGGACTGTCTTTGGTCTTTCTTCATATCCCTAGCACTTAGCATAGTGCCTGGCACACAGTAGGTGCTTAATAAATACTTTATTCATTATGGTTCTCTTATTAGACCGTGAGCTCCTTGAGAACGGGGACTATCTCTGCCTTTCTTTGTATCCCTGCACTTAGTAGAGTGCCTGGCACACAGTAGGTGCTTAATAAATGCTTCATTCATCCATTCAGTCTCCCCCATTAAGTTGTGAACTCTTTGAAGGCAGGGACTGTCTTTTGCCTTTCTTTGTATCTCTTGTGCTGAGCACTGTGCCTGGCACATAGTAGGCACTTAATAAATGCTTCATTCATTCATATAGTCTCCCCCATTAAGCTATGAACTACTTGATTGTCTTTTGCCTTTCTTTGTACTTCCCAAGTGTTTAGCACAGTGCCTGGTATATAAGAGGTCCTTAATAAATGCTTATTGACCACTATTCTGGCTAATGTTGCCCAGGGTTAACTGCCTGACATGGCATCCTCATCACAGCTGACTCAGACTGAGCTTATGGACACTCAGACCCCGGGGATTTCCCCCCATTTGCTGGTGTCTCTCTGATCATCTGGGACATTTGTGGGGGACCTCTTGCTCAGAGAGAGGAAGGACATCAGCCATATCTGGCCCCAGGGGATCTGGGTTCAGATTCAGGCTCTCCTTACTGTGTGACTGTAGGAAAATCAGTTGACTTCTCTGGGGTTCAGTTTCCTCTTCCAAAATGAAAAGATTACGCTAGGTGATCTCTAAAGGGCCTCCCGTCACCAAATCTGTGTGGTTGGGCTGCAGATACCAAGTCCCTGGAGGAGAGCAGCCCCCTGGATTCTGAGCCCCCAGTGGCTTCATGGTCCTTGACCTCAGGCAGGGCGGGTCACTTAACCTTACCTGCTTATCGGTGAGTTGTGGGGGCTGGGCTAGACAGTTCCTTCCAGCTCTACCCAAGGACGGCTGGGAGACGGGGGGGGGGGGGCATGCCCCCTGGGGTGCACATCCCATGGAAAAAAATCTTATTTGAGATAAACCCCCAACAGAGAGACAGCAGCCAGCAACCCCTGACAGCTGCTGCATGCTTGAGGGGGCTTCAAGGACTCCAGGTCTTGCCCAGATGAGGCAGGATGACCCTGAAATGGGAACAGTTTTAAGAAGGGACCTTAGTGCCCACTGAGTCCCACTCCCTCATCTTACAAATGAAGAAACGAAGGCTTAGGGAGGTTGTGACTTGTCCAGGGTCACTGAGCTGGGTAAAAGAGTCTGATCCCAGTCTGATGCTTCTCATCCAGCTTTGACCCTTCCTAGCTCCGTGACCTTGATGGCAAGTCTCCCGACCTGCTTCCGGCCCTCTGTAAAATGTTCAGCACTCCCCAACCTCACAGGCTTGTATTGAGGAAAGTCCTTTCTGGGAACATAAGCACTTATTAAGTGCCTACTGTGTGCAGGGCACTGGGGATAGAAGGACAAAAAAAAAAATGGAACACTCTTTATTCTCAAGCTTAGGAACCTGTAGAAAGTCAGAAATAAAAGGGAGGAGAATTGAGAATCCCAAGCTCTCTGGGATGGAGAGTTAGGGGTGGAGATGGGAAATAAGCCACTGACGAACTGGGATAATATAATGTCTTTTATTTAAAAAAAAAAATACCCAAACCTTTCCCATTCCCCCCACCCCGAGGGGAGGGGGAGCTGTGGCTTTTCCTGTAAGTTCCTGCGGCTGGCATGGCGGTAGAGAAGGGTGGCCCCCTCTTCCCCAGGGCCCTTTTCCAGACCCCTTTGCCCTATGTCGCCCTTAATCCTTTCCTAGTGGAGGAGATAAGATCAAGGATGGAGGCGGGGATGGATGCATCCCTCTCGTCCAGACCCCCAATCCTCCAGCCTTCCCCTCCTGGCGCATGGGTATCTTCTATGACCCTGCTCACCGGGGGAAGGGGGGCAGTTGTGTGAGACTGACGCCAGGCATCCAGAGAAGGCACCCACCCACGCTCCGCCCAGCACTTTGGGATGAAGCGGAGAAGAGATGAAGACATGCACGCAAGCTCCCCTCTGCGGCAGACTCACAGCATTTACAGGGGAAGTGTTCAGGTGCTGGGAAGGAGGGCTCCTGCGATGCACCCGCGCCCCCACTCCCGGCCACTGCCTGAAGCCCAAAAGCAGAGACAGCACCTCCAGCCAGCCCGGCACGAACCTTTTAGAGGATATCTGTATATTATTATTATTATTATTGTTATTGTCATCAGCATCATCGGCTTGAAGCCAGCAGGGCACCCCCCAATCGGGGCCCAGGAAGGGGGGAGGGCAGCTGCAGAGCCCACAGGGCTCACTCTCTGTCTCTGCCCCGTCCTCAAAAGATGGGGGCCTGGAACACAGCCCCAGGAAACGTCCAGAAGACCCTGTCTCGGCCGAAGGGGGCTGGCATCACTCCTCCCCTCAGAGAAGGGAGTAGACTGGAGTCAGGGGGCCCCTCTGGGAGCAGCTGATGACTGACGAGGTGATCAGCGCGGGGTCTCTCCCGCCGGCTGCTCCCCTTTGGGAGGAGTCAGAGTCAGGGGCACAGGCCAGTTCTAGCCTCAGCACCAGGGGTCCCGAGAGGCTCGGCCACGGTACAAGCTATCGCTCCTCTGCCAGGCACTGTGGATGAGGCTCAGAGCATCCTCGAACTTCTTCTTGTTGGAGGTTTCCTGGATTGCCTTGTGCGGGAGTTCTACCTGTGGAAGGGAAGAAGGGAGAGGCAAGGAAGCCTGCTTTGAGATTGGGGGGCAGCCAGAGGGAAAAGGAGGGGTAAGGTTTGAGGTCAACAGACGAGGATCATGGGTTCATAGATTTAGAGCTGGAAGAGATCCGAAAGGCCATTCTAGTCCAAACCTCTCATTTTACAGATGAGGAAACTGAGGCACCAGAAAAGGGGGAGGAGGTTATTAAGTGACTTCCCCAAAGTCACACAGGAAATGACCAGCAGATCGGAATCCAGGTCCTCTCACCCCAAATCCAGCACTCTCTGAAATGAACCCCACGTGGATTAAAACAGGGAACCATTAGAGAAACGGGGCCTGGCTTGGAGTTAAAGGCTCCTGGTGACCCTGGATAAGTCACCTCCCTCCTCGTGGGTCCTCGGTTTCCTTCTGGACAAAGTGAGCGCATTGGACCAGATGATCTCTGAAGTCTCAACGAACCTAAGGCAGACTTTTACAGATTAAAATAAAGTCACAGACTGATCCAGATTGGATCCCGGCATTTGGTCCCAGCTCAGCCACAGGCACCCTGGGTGAGTCTGAGGCCCCGCTGGCCCTTCTGCCCATCTCTAGCTCAGACTACCGTAGGGGCACAGACGGGAGGTCGAGGTGGGTGTCCGTCTCAGACTGTAAACCCTGACATTCTATAGTCCAAGGTTTCTTCCAGGCCCCAGTCATTAAACGGGGATTTATCAAGCAAGCACCTAAGGTGCACCAGATACTGGATGATGAGAGGCAGTGAAAAGAGCCCTGGTTTTGGAGTCTAAGAATCTACGGTTGAAATGTGTGACCCTGGGCTGGTCACCTAACCTCTGTGGGAAACTGTCATACAACCGGAGACTCTGCGAGTGGGAAAGGGCTCTGGAGGGCAGCCGGGCCAACCCTGACCTACAAAACCAATCTCCTCTATAAGCTACCCAACAAGGGGTCTTCCGGTCTCTCCCTGAGAACCCTCAGGGAGGAGAGAGAACACAGCCCTTCCCACTTCTGGACAGCTCCAAAGTTTTCTGCAAGTTTTCTGGACATCAAACTGTGTTCTGTGTCTGTGACTTTAACCCACTGCTCCTGGTCTGGGGCCAAAAACAACACTAATTCCCCCTTTCATGGATAACAGTCTCATGTGCTTAAAGACAGCTATCACATCCTCCCCCTGGCAAAAAGGCCTTCTGGTGGAAAATGCTATCCACATCCAAAGAAAGAACTATGGAGTTGGAATGCAGATTGAAGCATACTATTTGCTGGTTTTTTTCTTCTGTTGTGTTTTGTTTCCTCTTTCTGGTGGTTCTTCCTATTGGTTCCAATTTTTACTTAACAACAGCACTAATGTGAAAATTAAAAAAAAAAAAGGCCTTCTGGGAGAGGAGTGAAATTCTGAACAAAAGGGTTTTCTGAACTCTGGATTTTTATCCAGAGCTGAAAGGGGATAACTGGTATTATTAGAGCACTTCAAAGGCTTAGCCTACATCTTTTTTTGAGCCTCATGGACACTCTGTGAAGTAGGGATTCCAGGGAGAATTTTCCCAATTTTATAGACATAAATGAGGCTCAAAGAGTGGAGACAACAGTGTTGCCTCCCTCACAGCATGAAGGTGGGGCTTGGTGGAAAGTGGTCTGGCCTTGAAGATGGGGGGGGGGGGCTCTGATCCTCAGCCCTGGAGAGCTCCCAGCCCTCTGGAAGGGAACAGGGCTCAGGTCATGCCCCGGGGCATTATGTAAGCACCAGGTGAGGACCCAAAGGACTCTGACCTGCATGGTGCCATGGGCCAGCACACCAGCAAAAGGAGGCCTCAAAATGGCACCAGACAGCCACGGCTCGTGTCCCAGCTCAGGAGACCAAGGATCCGAGCGGCCAACTTCAAGACCCTGAATGAGACCCTGACCATCTCAAGGCCGCTGCAGGGCCCTGGAGGTGGGGAGTGGGAAGAGAGCGTAAGGGGCTCAAGTCCCCTCTCAGTTCCTGGCTCCTTCTGGCTCCAAGTCCCATGATAAATACGGGAAACCATTTAGGACTGGACTTCTGATTTCAACAACGTAGGGAGCTTCCAGTGTGGAAACTCTATTCTCCAATGAACATCAGCTACTCCTCTAAAACCGAGTCTTAAGAGAGTTGTATAGGGCACTGAGAGATTAAGAGATATACCTATGGCAGATGGAATTGAAGCATACAGAGCACTAGGCCAGGAGTCATGAAGACCCGAGTTCAAGTCTGGTCTCACTTACTAACTGTGTGACTGGGCAAGTCAGTTAATCTCTGTTTGCCTCAGTTTTCTCAACTGTAAAATGAGGCTAATACCTACCTCCCAGGGTTGTTGTGAGCCTGAAATGAGATAATATTCATAAAGTGCTTAGCACAGTACCTAGCACATAGCAGGTGCAATATAAATGCTAGTTTTACCATTATTCTTAAAATAGGGATAATGAGGATCAAATGAGAATATCTGTATGTTTTTTTAAGTGCCTGGCACATAGTAGGTGCTATCTAAATAAATGCTTATTAGTTCTTCCCCCACCCACCATGGTTCCAGAGCCCTAGTGTCAGAGGATATGACCCCAGGTCTTCCTTACTCCAAGGTCAGACCCCCTTCAAGCGCTTAAGCTTCACTGTGATTTGAGTTACTGTTGGTGTTTTTCTTCTTCTGGCCCCTGCTCAGGGCTCTGGTTCCCCTGGCTTGGCCTGGCCCGTTCCCGGGGAGGGTTACCTGGCAGACAGCTCTCCAGACAGAGCTCAGTGCAGACAGGAATCGGTCCAGTTCTGTAGTGCAACTCAGATATATGACCCAGGGCGGGAGAAGCTGCTGCCGGTCCTGGGAGAACTCCTAGGGGGCAGAGGACAGGGTGAGGGCCCGAGGGGGTGCAGGAGGGCTCCCCCCAGACACCTCCACATCTCTGGCCCTCACCAGGACGCAGTACTCCTTGCCAGGCTCGGTGGAGACGGCGGTGATGTTGGCCAGCTCTGCCGTGCCCAGTGAGCGGAAAAAGCTGGTCTGACAGTCCTCGTGGCACGTGAAGAGCCGGTCATCGGTGATCACCAGGCAGCAGGGGAGGCACGGGCTGGGGGCAACGCCCTGGGGGATGACCTGGGCCACAGACAGGGGAGGCAAAGGTCAGCCTGTCCCTTCCAGACGGGCGAGGACCCGGGCTGCTTGGTCCACCTTCCCTCTCACACTTCCCTCCGCTGCTGCTGTTCCCTTCTCTTGGTTGGTGGTCCCAGGAGGGCTCCCTTCTAGAGACCAGGTGAAGGCAGAGGACCATCGATTTAATATTAGAAGGGACCTTCAAAGACATTAGATCTAACTCTTGTGTTTTATAGATGAGGAAATTCAGGCCCAGAAAAGTGAAGTGATTTGTCCAGGCTCTCACAGCTAGTAAGAACATAAGGCAGGAGTAGAGCCCAGCTCTTGATTTTAAATGCAGCCGGGCTATACAGCAGTGAACTGGGCCCAACATCATTCCTGCCCTCTGGCCCTAATCTCAGGTCAGTGGGAGCCATCCTTACAGACTAGAAGTCCGGTCTTGCTCCAGTCCCAAAGGGCCCCAGGAGATGGTTTCGAGGCTGTCCCATCCCTCCCTTGGAGCACGGGGCTGTCTGTTTGCCCATCGAGGACGAACTCACTCCTTTAGAAACAGCTTGGCAGAGATGCTGCATCCAATCGGCCATCTCTGTCTCGTCGGTGGCACTCAGCTCCAGGGAAGGCCGGTCAGTGAGGATCACCTGGAAGGCGTGGGGCCGATCTGTGGTGTTGGACCTCCGGCAGCCGCCACATTGCTCCCCCCTGGGGGCCAACCACGAAACAGGATGAGGGATGGAACAGGGAGGGGGACGCAGGGTGACCCCAACCCATGCCCCAGATCCCCAAGGGGCTGCTGCCTTGGCTTGTGTCCCACTGACCAAAACGTTCGTCCTTGTAACCCTCTGGGATTTTCCCAATGGTTCTCCTAAAGGTCGGGCTTTGGTAAAACCTCTGAGCACCCTGAGTACTCAGAAAGACCAGACAGCTCTCTGCCTATGCCTGGTCCTTGACCACTGACCACTGACCATAGCGTGGCTCCAGAAAATTCTGGGGCTCCCAGCTTTTGGCTTCAGAGACTGCCTGTGTTCACAAATTTCTTCCTGAGTGCCATGTCTTTCTCATAAGGATGGAGAGACAGGGGACAGAGGGGTGGTCTCAGGGTCAGGAAAACCTCTGATACATACTGCCTGCATGGTCCTGGGCCAGTCTCATAACCTCTTAGTGGCCCAGGCAAGTCCCTCGGACTAAGGTGCAGAACAGCTAGCTATCTGCATTGGTGGAAGGACTTTCCTCACTGAGGAGGTCCCAACCATGATGAAATCACAGGTCTAGATTTTCCTTTCGAAAAATTCTTTGTTATAAGGGATGGCTCCCTGGGAGGGGGCAGGGGGAGGAATACAAGGGGAAATTTAGGTGATATCAACTTTTACAAAAAACATTTTTTTTAAAAGAAGACATCAAAGGATATCTTGCCTTAATAAGAACCCATTCTACAATATAGATGATGAATGCCTAGTGAGCCTCTACTTGGATACTTTGTATGATGGGGCACTTACCACCTACCTATCCAGGCAGGCTACTTCATTACTCTCATGGTTAAGGTGTTTTTCCCTGGCCTCTGTAGTTCCCTCTCTGCTCCTGGCTCTGCCCCACCCCTTGAAGATGGCTTTCATGTCTCCCCCTAGGCCTTCTCTTCTAAGATTCCATATCAGTGAGAAACAAGAGGGAGAAGGGCCCTGGGGAGGTCAGCAGGGGGCTGGGGTCCCAGCCATGAGGACAGCCCATCCTCCCCTCCAGGTCTCCAGAAATACCTACCCCATGTTCACAGAGAGCAGAGGGATGACGTCGGTGCGGTCAGGATACTGATAGAGGATCCCATTGCTGTAGGGAAGATGATGAGAGCAGGGGTGAGAGGTGCCGGGCCTCGGTCCTCAGCACAATGGTCTCTGCTGGGGACCCCAGCAGCTCTAGGCTCAGAGGCACTCTGGGCAGTCATGGGAGCCAAGGGCCTGGGCTCAGCCCCACCTCCAATGCCTACTAGCTACGGGACCATCTCTACAATGGGGGCAATGAGGCGCTGCTGCTCCCCAGACTGCTGGGGGCAAAGGGGCAGTGGGCCCGGGGAACCTCGCGGCCCCTGTCCCAGCCTGGGAGGGCGGCCTGCCTCAGCTCCGCACCTGAGGACCACGAAGCAGGACTTCCAGTGCTCCTTGCCCAGGTATGAGGTGCCGGCCTTATAGTGCAGCATCCCTTCTTTGGTGACCGCGTTCTCCACTGAGGAATAGTGGCAGGGGGCAGGGCCCGGCGTCTCATCTGAAGGGTCCTCCCAGTGCACCAGCCCATAGAAACGCACAGTGACTGCTGATGCCTGTGGTTGGGGAGAGGAGGAGAGAGAGAGAGAGAGAGAGAGATGGGGGAGAGAGAGATGGATGGAGGGAGGGAGGTGGGGAGAGAGAGATGGGGAGAGAGAGAGGGATGGAGGGAGGCAGGGAGGGAGGGAGGGAGAGAGAGAAAGAGATGGGGAAGAGAGAGAGGGAGGGAGGGAGAGAGAGAGAGAGAGAGGGGGGAGAAAAGCAGGCCATGGGACAGCCGCAGAGTAACCGACATTTAGAGAGAGAGAGAGAGAGAGAGAGAGAGAGATGGGGAGAGAGAGAGGGAGGAAGGGAGACAGAGAGGGAGGGAGAGAGGGAGGAAGGGAGGGAGAGAGAGAGAGATGGAGGGACAGAGGGAGGGAGAGAGAGAAAGAGATGGGGAAGAGAGAGACGGAGGGAGGGAGGGAGAGAGAGAGAGAGAGAGAGAGAGAGAGAGAGAGAGAAAGGGGGGAGAAAAGCAGGCCATGGGACAGCCGCAGAATAACCGACATTTATTATTATTCCCACTGCGTGCAGCGAGCCAACAAGCACTAAGTAAGCACCTACTGTGTGACAGGCACTGGAGCTAAGCACTGAGAATACAAAGGGAGGGAAAGAGAAGTTTGCAGAGCACTGAGCTAGGCACCGGGGAAGAAACAAGGTTTGGATAAAATCCAGCAGCGAGGGACGGCGCAGCTAAGGGGTTCCACGGTACACAGGGCGCTGGACCTAGAGTCAGAAGAGCTGAGTTCAAATCCAGCCTCAGATACTTACTAGCTGGGTGACTGAGCAAGTCTCTTAACCTTCCTGCCTCAGTTTTCTCAATTGTAAAATGGGGATAATCACAGTACCCACCTCCCAGGGTGGCTGTGAACATCAAATGACATAATGATTAGGAAGGACTTAACCATGCCTGGCACACAGCAAGCGCTATATAAATGTTGGCTTGTTATTGTTATCATTATTATCATTATTTTCATCATTACCATTACCCAGTGCCTGTCCTCAAGGAACTCACAGTCTAGTAGAGGGAAAAGAGCCCAAAGTCCAGCGTTCCCTAGCCCCTTGTCCCCTTCCCTCCCCCGGCCCCCACAGCTGCCAGTCCAGCTCGGGCCCTCATCCCCTTTGGCCTGGATTACTGCAATCAGTCTCCCTGCCTCAGGCCTCTCCCTGCTCCAGCCCACTTGCTGCGGTCTACACCACATCCTGGCTCTGGGCCAGTCTCCTAACCTCTCACTGGCTCAGGCAGCTCTCAAAGTCTTAGCCTCAGAGCAGCTGCTAACCCGCACTGGTGAGTTCTCTCCTGCTGCAGTTCTGGGCCTCCTCCCTTCGATACCTCCAGAGGCTCCCTGCAGCCTTAAGGATAAGCTGAAGCTGCTCAGCCCGATGCTGGATGCTTGCCATGGCCTGGTTCCAAGCCCGCTTTTCAGGCTTCTCTCATATAAGCCTCCCCTTCACCTCCTGGAAGCTGCAGCTGAGCTGGCTTCCACTAGCTTCTCCCCAGACTTAGGCTGCCCTCCTGGCCTCCTGGCTCCATGCCCTGCCTGGAGCATCCTCTCCCTGCATCTCTGCCTTTCAACACCACTCAGGGGTCACCTCCTCCAGGAAGCCTCCCCTGATCTTCTCTGGTGAAAATGATCGGAGCTCTCCTTCCTGACATCTCCCTGAGGTATCAATCACAGGACCAGAGATCCTGGGACACCAGAGCCCAACCCCCTCTTTCTGGAGATAAGGCTCAGAGGGCTTATGGGACTTCCCCGAGGTCACCCAGATGGGAAGTTAGCAAGAGTAGGGCTCAAACCCAGATCCTCCAACTCCAGAGTCAGGCAGAGACCTATGATCACAGCTGTCTGTGTCTCTGTTCTGCTCTCTCCCACCTACAGGAGGTGAGAAGTCTCTCTAGGGCCAAGCTCGGAGGTTTGCATATACTATGGCAGGCCTTGGTTAATTGGTTAATTAAAGCTGCTCCCCCGTTCCTCACTCTCCAGCAGCTTCCTATCACCTCGAGGTCCCCTGTCGGCTTCCTTTCCAGTCTCATTCCGCCTCCCTCCCCTCCAGACACCGTCCTCTCCCACCAAACCGGCCTCCGCGTCCATCCCGGTTCTTGGTATCTGGTCTTCTCTTGCCAGGTCGTGGTACAGACTGTTCCCCAGGCCTGGAGCGCCCTCTGTCCTCACCTGGCTCAGACCCTTTGGCCTCCTTCAAACTCAGGCCAAGCACCACGGGTTCTCTTCTGATCCTGCCTCCCCGGAATTCACTGCCCTGTAGACGAAGTATCTACTCCTGGGTATGTGTGTTCCTGCTCCCAATAGAAGACAGGCTCCTGGAGGCCAGGAATCATTTTGTTTTTGAAAGGAAATAATGTGAAATAGGCCTAGAAAGGGAGACTGGGAACCCAGCTGGTTTTTATTTCTTCCCAGAGGCATCTGGGAGCCCCTGAAACTTCTTGAGCAGCAGAGTGATATGGTCAGAACTCCCCACTCCCTAGCACGTGCCCAGCGCTTCACAAACGCTTGTTAGAACACCTCTGTTCCTGGGGACCCCGTGAGCAGGTCTGACGCCACAGGAGGAGGAGCTGATAGCCAGTCTCACACGTCTTAGCCAGCTGGGAAGACCCCTCCTCCACGCACTGTCGGGACGACTATGCACATCCCCCACCTCTCTCTGCAGAGACAGATGGCAGGCAGCCTGTCCAGAATGCAGCCCCGGCTCCCCGGCTCCATGAGTCAGCCCCTATCCTTCCTCTGTCCCACCCACTGCAGGATCCCAGACTCTTACCTCACATTTCGATTCCTGGGCCACAAACTTGGCCAGTGCCAGCTTCTCCATGGTGGCGTCGGTCAGGACGCTGGGGTAGGGGGGCTCCCGGCAGCCTTTGATCATTGCCGACTTGAGAGAGACCAAGAAAAACCTGTGGAAGGAGGGAAATGGGTGCAATGAGAGGGTGGGGGGGGAGACCCTCCAGGAGCAGGGCTGGGGCGATGGAGCGAGTCCTGGCTCTCCTCCCAGCATCCCCTGACCTCTGAAGTAGCCTCAACCCTTCAGCTGGCCTTGGGATCTGAGGCCAGGAAAAGAAGAAAGCGAGCATTTATTAAGCACCTAGTATATACCTGGCACCGTGTTAAGCATTTTACAATTATCATCTTGCTTGATCCTCACAATAGCCCTGAGAGGTAGGGGCTATTATTATCCCCATTTTGCAGATGGGGAAACTGAGGCAGGCAGCGTTTAAGTGGCTTGTCCCAAGTCACTGGGATAATAAGTGGCAAAGGCAGGGTTTGAACCCAGGACCCTGGCCTCCCCTGTCCCATACTGCCTCCTATTCCACCTGTCTCATGAACCAGAACCATGAACCTTAGATCTGCCCCTTCCTCCTGCCCCTCGCCTCATCTCCACCCCAGAGCTCAGCAGTTAGTTCTGCATGGAGGATCATACAGCATGAACCTAGAGCTAGAAGGGACGACCCCTGCACTTGACAGATGAGGAAACTGAGGCCCAGAGACCACTTCAGCTTCCCCAAGCTAAGTAGGGGAGTCAGATTTCAAACGCTGATCTTCTGACTCCAAGTGCAGTCTCCGCCAGCCCAACCCAAGCAGCATTATTAGGCACCTAGGTGCCAAGCACTGTGCCTAAGACAAAGAAAACAGTCTCTTCTTTCAAGGAAATCACAAGGGGGGTGGGAGTCGGGGATATAACATAGACCATTAAGTATGTCCATGACTGTGTGAGAAGAGAGAGGACATTGGGAGGCTCCAGGGGATCGGGAAGGTTTGTCCAAGGACACGGCCCAGGTGAGGAGGGAGGGCATTTCAGGCATGAGGGACAGCCAGGGCAAAGGTCTGGAGATGGGAGATGGAACGCCTAGCGCCAGAAACAGCAGGTAGACCCATCTGGCTTGCATGGAAAGTGCTTGAAAAGAGATAAGGTGAAAAAGCCTGGAAAGGGAGACTGAAGCCTGAGTAGAGAGAGGCAAAAGAGAGCCGTGAAAAGTTCCTGAAGGCTGAAATTAGCTTGTCAGTCGAGTGAGCGGAAAGAGGGGGCTGGAGCTGAAAAGTGTTGTAGAGGGAAGACGTGATAAAATCTGGCAAATGATCAAATGCTAAATCCTCTGTTTGGCATTCCAGGCTCTTCATAATGCTACCACCTCCCCTTCAGTCTTCTTATACCTTATACTACTCCCTATGCCCTCTCTCTCTCTCTCCCTCTCCTTCCCTCCTCTTTCTCTATCACACACACACACACACACACACACACACACACACACACACACACACACACAGTGTCACAATGACTCTGGCCTCTTGGCTATTCCTCCAACAAGACCCTCCATCTCCCAAATCCAGGCCTCATCCCGGGCTCTCCCCTGTGCCTCAACGTTCTTCCTCCTCATCTCTGCCTCCTGGTTTCCCTAGCTTTCTCCAAGACCCAACTAAAATCCCATTTTCTACAGGAAACATTTTCCAAGCCCTCTTAATTCTAGTCCCTTCTCCCTCTTCTTTCCTTCCTAGATATCCTGCACGTAGCTTACCTGTACATGACGTATTTGCATGTTGTCTCCCCCACAGATCGTGAGCTCCTTGTGGGCAGGGACTGGCTTTTGCCTTTTTTTGTATACCCAGTACTTACTTGGCACAGTGCCTGGCACATAGCAGGCCCTTCATAAATGCTTATTGACCAGCTGCTTGGATATGGGGGTTGAGGAAGGGGAACAGTTGAAAAAATATGGAGTTTATAAAGTTGGGGAACTGGAAAGATGGTGCCTTCAACAGAAATAGGGAAATCTGGAAGAGGGCCAGGGCCTGGGGGGAAGATAATGAGTTCCATCTTGGATGGAATGAGTTTGAGGTGACTAAGAAACATCCACTTGGAGATGTTCCAGAGGCAGCTGCTGCTGACGGCCTGGAGACCAAGAGAGAGACTAAGGTGGAGCGAGACCCCAGGGTCATCTACACAGAGGTGATAACTAGACCCAGGGGCGCTAACGAGATTGCTAAGAGCAATCTTAGCCTTGCTAAGAGCAAGGGCGTGGAGAGACAAGAGGAGCCAGGAGGAAACACCCTTCGCTTGGGGCTGAAGTCCATGTGCTGACCAGTCTCCATAGTGAGGCTGCATCTCCAATCTGGACTGACTCTCAGTCCCAGACCCTCAGCTCTGCTTGGGCCACACAGATGGCCAATGCTCAGGCAATACTGTTGACTAACGGACTGCAGACCCAGGTTCAAGTCCTGATTCTGATGTTAATTCGCACTGTGGTGACCTGGTGCAAATCCTACTTTTTGAGCCTCAGTTTCCCTAGCTGACAATTGAAGAGGTTGGACTGGATAGTCTCCAGTCCAAGGGGTGGGGTGGGAATCTTACTCAGCCAGGGTCACGTCGGCTGTGTCGAGAAGAAACTGCTTCCTTCGGTTGGTGCAAACCAGCCTCACTGTCTGCTGATCCAGGCCAACCTGGTGGGAACACCACATTTAGCCCGTGTATGTTCACACAAGTCTATGTATCCATACAAACGCAGGATTCTGGTGGCTTCCCTGGATGCAGGGCAGGGGCTGGTAAGGATGCAGGGGAGATTCCATGCTCTGAAGGAAGCCTGGCTCTGAGAAGAAAGTCTGGAGCCTCCAGTTATCAGGGGCTGCAGCAAACAGAGTGAACGGATCCTTCGGTCCCATTTCCTGTGACTCATACCAGAGCCCTGTAGCTGATGTGCCACCAGGCCCAGCAAAGCCTCTGAATGCTGCTGCCAAAGCATGTGAATCAACCTCCTGACCTTGACCTCTGACAGCCCTGGTGGGTGATGATGGCAGTAAATGCCTTCCACCTCATCCTTCTCAAAGACTGCCCGGAGGGGACAGTAGGCTGGCTCATGCAGTGATAATCTGGGGTGAGTGACAACCCCTGCCATGAGGGTTAACAAGGGGAGTAGTCGCAGGTCTGGAGAGCAGCCCTGAAGGAGACCTGGGGGACCCCTGCCCTGTGCCCCTGGATGGCATGAACTCACCGAGACATAGTCCAGTTCATTGTAGGAGATGGCCTCTTCTACCAGGTATGGCTTCTCCGTGGCCCCTAATGGAGAACCCTGAGGTCTGTTTCCCAAAGGAGCGACCTCCTCCCCTACCCTCCCATCAAGTTTCTGCTGTCAGCCAGTCCCCTCCTCAGCAAGGGTTGGCTCCCTCCCCTGCTGCCTGGGAAGGGTCAAGAGTGGCTGGATTGGAAGGACTAGCCACCAGATTGTCTCAAGAGCTTCTGGGGGAGCCATGGAGTATGTCCCTCCAGGTAACCAGGGCTATGGTTCGGTCTGCTTCCTCCCAATGCATCATACTGGGTCATCCCAGGAGGAGGTGGGAGGCACAGGGGAGCTCTCTGGGTTGGCCTCAGCATCTGCTCCAGTCTAGGCAGAGGCATCAAAATTCAATTCAGCCTAACTCAAATCTAATGCAATTCAATCTAATCTTCAAGCATTTAAGTGTCTACTGAAATCCAGGCATGTGGTAGCTTGGAGATACAAAGACAAAAATAAAATGGTCCCTGCCCTCAAGGAGCTTACATTCTACAGGAGAGGAAGCAAGACGTATAAAATCAGTAAGTGCAAAATGGGTATAGTTATTGGGGGGATATAATGGGGGAGGGCAGGGGTACGCTCACAACGGGGGACAGCAGCAAAGACCTCCTGTAGGAGGCGGCACTTGGATCTTAAAGAGAGCTAGGAATTCTGAGAGGTAGAGGTGAGAAAGGATGGCCTTCCAGGCAGGGGGCATAGCCTGGGCAAAGGCAGAGGTGGGGGACCGAACATCACACATAGTGGCCCAGAACGGCTAGAACCTAAGAGGTAACGAAGGGGAGTAGTGGGACCTTAAGCTTCCCCCGCAGTGTTTAGCAGTCAGGTGAAGTCACAGCTACCTTTCCGGAGCAGGTAGATATAACAGTCAGTCAACAGCACGTACAAGAGCTGGAGGTTTCCTTCCATGTGTCCTGTGCTCATACGGATCATCTGGGTGGCCAAAGGGAGAGAAGGCCCCTGCCTGTTAGAGACCAGGGGCTTTCAGTCTGTCCCAGTATCTGTACTAATGACACATTCCAACCCCACCCCCCCACCACATCCCAGGTAGAAATAGGTCCCAAGTGGTTAGAAGCAATTTATGGAGAACAGCCTGGACAAAAAGCCACTGGCAAGGAGGTTCCCTGGGGTCTCAGGGGTTCCCAGACAAAGTCCTAACAATACTTCTAGACTCCACTTACCCAGTGAGTCCAAAGCTGGGTCCCAGTTTAATATACCTGGGGGGGTGGGGTGAATCCCAACCACCGCTTCCGGGCACATTACCTCCCCAATGAGCTTGGAAGGGTATGGGAGAGAGTGTTAACTCATGCCTCCTCAGTTCTGCCAGTATGCTGGCCCTTGCACCCCTGCCCCTACCCAGGCTCCTCGACACCTCCCTCTTTCCCTCAGTCTTAAGAAGGCCTGGAACTTACCCTAAAGAGCTGCTCTTCATTCTCCCGAAAGACGTGAATCATTAAGAGGAGTAAGTGGTTGTTGTCAACTCTGTGGGGGCCAGGGAGGGGAGAGGAGGGGGTCAGGCAGGGTGAGTGGGTGGACACAGCAGTGCATGCATGCAGAGGCGGTGGGGGAGGGCACCAAGGACCAGTGGTCCCTCGCCATCTGGGAATAAGTCACATTCCAACCCAAATACTCCTCCAAGAAGAAGAAAAAAAAAAGAATTCCAGTGGAAGAATCTTGGGGGGCTCCTTTATGCCGGGGTCTGTTGAGCTGCAATCACTCTTATCTACTGCTAACAGTCAAAGTCTTGTGGAATTTCAAATCCCCCTGCTCATAGCCTAGACTAAGCCTCCTTGGGGGGGTTTCTATTTCCTTGACCTGAAAACCAGTGCCCGCCTGCTCTCCATGCCCTCCCTCCGCAATGGCGCAGGGCACTTCTCTCCAGGAGCTGGGCAGATGGAAACCACGTCCTCACCTGAACTCAGACGGGTGGCTCATTTCCAAAGGGCTCCCCTGGCCCTCGTCCACTCCGGAGTCCTCTGCGCTACTCACACCCGGGCTGGGCTGGTCTCTCTTGATGGTGCCCTGGGTTCCAGGCTCCAGCTTGGACACGGGGCACTCTCTGGCTGACACAGGTTCTAAGGGTGTGTCCAAGGGTTCTTTCTGGGGGCCTGCTACAGGCACAGATGTTTGTCTGTCTTCTTCTCCTCTTCCTTCTCTTCCTCCTTCTTCTTGGCCAGCAGCCTCAGTGCTACCAGGAACATGTAACGGTTGGCCAGGCCCTGCAAGGTCATGGTTGCCACTACTTGATGTAACAGCGTTTGGACTCTCAACGGTAAAGCGGTAGAAGTCCATTGGGGCCGGAATCCCTTCGCTAAAGTTGCAAAATGGCGGCCTTTCCGGGGCGTCCCCGGGAGAGCCGGTCCGAAAGGACCGGTCTGCCAGTTCAACGTGGGAGGGCCAGCCGCTGGGGTCCAGCTGCCCATTGAGCTGGTCGATGACCTTGCTCAGGGGCTGGCCCACACTTTCCATGGAGGTGTCCTTCATCTCGGGGATGCGTAGGCCCATCTGACTCAGCTCCGAACGGTCACTGCTCTCTGCTGTGCTGCCTGGGCCCTCACCCCCCTCCTGGGGGGAGGTCGGGGCAGTGCTCGGAGCGTCCGCTCTGGGCTCAGGGCCATTAATGAAGCTGTCGCCACTCCCTTGCTTGGCACCTTTTGGATGGGCCAAGGTAGGGTGGAGGGGGCTGGACTCTTCTTCTGATCTGGCCTTTTTCTTCTTCCCTGTTTTCTTCTTCTTGGTGACCCTGAGACCAGAAAGTTACAGGGATGGAGAGGGTTGGATGCTGACCTGAGCTCCGGGCATTCAAAGACCCAGAGCCTGTGCTCTCCTGGGCACAGCAAGCTAAAGCAAGAGGGCAGGGGGGCATCAGGAGTGATGGAAGTCACAGGAACCCTGCAGGAGGGCCAGCAGAAATGGAAGAACACGCCTGGCCTCTGCCTACGGCACCTGAGTAAGGAAGGTGTCGCTAGAGCTAACCTCAGGATGTTAGCAGCTGACCCAGACACGATCCCTTGGAACTACTAATTATGAGTCACAGGAGCCTAGATTTTAGAGCTAGGAGACCTACAGGCTATAGAATCCAAGCCCCTCTTTTTACAAATGAGGAAACTGAGGTTCAGTGACTTGCTCAGTGTCATGCGGCTAGTAAGTGTCAGAGGTGGGATATGAACCCAGTTCTTCCTTACTTTCTCCCACACTCCCTCCCAAGTCCAGTGCCCTGTGGCATCTTTAGTGGTAGCTAGAAATGGCTAAAATGTGCAATATAGAGTGCCTTGGAAGTTGGAATTGGGAAGTCCTGAATTCAAATTCTACCCTCATACACTTACTGGCTGTGTGACCCTGGGTAAGTCACTTAACCTCTGCCTCAGTACCCTCATTTGTAAAACGGGGATGATAATAAAAGCACTCACCTCCACAGGGTTGTTTGGAGTTTCAAACAAGATACTATATGAAACATCTGTTTTTTAAAAAACTTTAAAGCCCTATGTAAATGTTACCTATCATTATCATCATTAGTGAATAGTGTGCTGGACTTGGAAGTAAGAAAGACCTGGGTTCAAATCCTTCCTCTGATACGTACTAGCTGTGTGACCTTAGGCAAGTCACTTAATTTCTCTGGGCCTTGGTCTCCTCATCTGTAAAATGGGGGCCATAATAATACCTCAATATCTATCTCACAGGGCATTTAAGAGACTCAAATAAGCCAATACATTCAAAGCACTTGGATAAGTTTTAAAAGCTCTCTATAAATGCCAGTTATGGTTAGTAGCATTATAATATAACACACTATATCATAACATAACATAATATAATACAATGTGATATAACATGATGTTATATTACACTTATGCTATGCTGTATTTTATGTTATATTGTTATGTTATGTTATATTGTATTATAATGACTCAGAAATATCTGGGTGAGGGCAGGATAATTTCCTCCCAAGCAGGTTAGGCATATTCCCCCCAGATACTAAGCTACGGTACTTGAATTTCGGGCATTGTCGCTTTCTCCCCTTGCCCCACAAAGTCTCAACTATGCACGTCGCTTCCTAATCTCTCCAAAGAAAAGGCCTGCTTCCCTCTGGGAGAGTACCTCACTCTTCTGGGCTGGAAAAGCGATAATGCTCTAAGAGTCCTACAGCATGGCAAGACCCAGGCGCAGCGCAGGCAAGACTCCCAGGGAGAACCTGGCAGCTGCCCAGTCTTGGGACAGCAGGGCTCCTAACTGAGGGGCTGCTTCCCAAGAGCCTTCTGAGGGGGGCCCTTTCCCTGCTGACCTGATCACCTCCAGCTCTGTGCTAGCCTCTTGCAGGTCCAGGGCCCTGGCCTCTCCCTTCTCCTGAGAGAAGGTGTGCACAGGGGTGGTATCGGAGGAGGACACACCCTCCGCCCGGTCCTCATTGAAGGGGTTGTAGCGTGGCGTGGGGCTCTTCGTGGAGGCCTTGCCACTGGTCAGGTCCGAGGCAGTCGAGCGGGGGCAGCTGACGGTGTCCGTGAGGTCTCCATCTGGGGCGAAGAAGAGAGCGGGGAGAACCGCCCATCAGACACGGCCTCCCACTGCCACCGGCCACCTGGGGCACTCCTGACCTCAGGAAGGGAGGCAGGTGAGCCTCTTCCAAAAGAATCTATCATAAACAGGAGATGAACCTGAGGGTCTAAGGGTGACTTGGAAGGACCCATAACATGGCCCTAAATCTCTATGGCTACTAAGGAAGGCTTGCCCTAGGTCAGATCAGAGGCAGAGCTGAGAAGTTTCCTCCAGCCTGACTAAGCTGGCTTGAGAGATGCAGGGGCGAGATGCTTAACTCACTTCTTTTTCCTCCAAAGCACCCTTTATCACTGAGAAGGCAGGGGATGCACGACTTAGTGTCCATTCAAAGGGCTACTCTGATGTGCCAGGTCTACCAAATGGGTCAGCAGCCTCTCTGGCCCAGCTTTCATGAACAGGAATAGCCCAGGCTGCTCCAGAGGGGTCCTGGGGGAAGCAGGTGAAAAAGGAAGGGGAAGATGCATGGGGCAAAGAGACAGAAGAGTTAGAACGGGGGACGTGGAGAGGGGGAGGAACAGTGAGTGGGAGTGGGCAAGCAGACCGGGGGATAGGAAAATAAGGAATAAAGAGGAGAGGACAAGGTACAAAAAGTAGAGGGCAGTGAAGATGAGAGGCAGAGTCAGGGGACAGGAGGATGATTGGGGGAAAGAAAAATGAGGAACAAAGTGGGAGAACAGGCCAGACGAGAGGCAGAAATTGGGAGGAAGAATGAGAGGCAGGGAAGATGAGAGGAAGGACGAAGAGCAGGATAAGCAGGGAGGGTGAGGAGCCTAGTGGGGAGGGGGGTGGGGAGGGGGGCTGGGAGGACCAGGGACAGAGTGAAGGGGCGGGGAGAGTGAGGATGAAAGAGAATGAAGTGCATAGTGTGAAGCACCCAAGGCTGCCTCCAGACCCCAGGGTCCTCATCTCTGGTCTTCAAAGGTCTCAGCGTCATCTCACTAACTTATTCCTGATCCTGTACACCAAAGAGGTCCCCCAGACCTGAACACTGATCTTTCCTGGCTAATTCTTGACCTCGCTCCACCTTCAACAAAGAGGCCAGGGAGATGCCACTTCAGAAAGGAGGCGATTTAATCCCCACTGTGCCCTCACTAATTGGGGGTGGGCTGGGGGGGTGGGGTGGGATGGGGTAAAGAACCACCGAGAAAAGCATATACACACAGAGCATTCACCAGGCGAAGATGGGAAGAGACAAGAATTCAGCTGGCTGAGCAGCCCGGGCGAGGGTTAATGGGGTGAGGGACACAGGATGTCACGCTACATTTCCCAGCTCATGCACATCTCCCTGCCCATTATTAGTCCTGAGTAAATGCAGTCTCAGCTCCTCTTCCCGCAGGCCCATCTGGAAGGGCCCATCTCACTATCCACATCTTAGCAGGCCCTTGAAAACAACACGACAGCTGCCTGCTGAAGACAGATTTTCTTTCAACCTTAGGAAAAGGGAAAGGGCTGAGTGCTAGCCCCCAGCTGCCTGGAACAATGACCTTCACCTTGTAGCTATAGTTAGATGAGGGCTAGAGACATTATAGGTTGACACAAGGGCTCAGATAACATTGGGACCAGACTCTCAAAGACTTAGAGCAAGGTGGAATCTTAGAGATCAATCTAGCCCAACTAACTCATTTTGTAGATAGAGAAACTGAGGCACGGAGATTTCACTGAGGTCATACATGTAGTAAAAGTAGCCGAGTAGGGACTCAACCCAGGTCCTCTTTCACCTCTACCATGTGGCCTCTGGGACTCTACAGCCCATTTATTCTCTCCTGAGTGCATATCATTCCCCTCAACATATGCAACTGGCAAGGAGATAGATAACCCATGTTCACTCATCCCCCAAGAAGATAATCACCGGGAGGGTGACCATTGAACATCCTGGGTGCTAATGCTGGCCAGAGGAAGAATGTTGGGTCTCAGAAACCCACCAGCTCTGCAAGCCAGGGACCACTGAAAGGGTACCCAGTCAAATCACTGATACCATAAGTATAGGGACTAAAGCCACCCTTATAAAGAGAAACCCAGGAAACTGAAAATGCTGATCATCCAGTTGAGGTCCCAAAGCTAACCTCCTGCCATCCAACGGAGTCTTAATAATTGGCAAAGACAACCTCTAAGGTTTCTCTTGGGAATTATTTTGTCACTTGAGCAATTTGAGAATGTAAGTGGCAGGAACTAGCTAACCCTAGGGGCCCAGCCCTATAAGGAACAATCAATGCCATGAGTACTGTTAGTTCTTGGGCAATTGGAAGCTCTGAGGTGCTGCAGAGCAAGGCCAAGCCCCATTCACCAAACGATTACAAAAGGCAAGAGGGAGTTTGATTGGAAGTTGTGGTTAGTTGTTAGACTGATGAGAAAAAAAACAAACAAACCAACGCACATTGTGTGTGCCTGGAGAAGAGCTGCTCAAGGAAATCAAAGCTACTGTGATGGAATTCTGGATTTCAAAAGCCAATCTGAACAGAAACATGGGTTTGGGGAATGTCACAAATGAATGGTTTGGTTGCAGGAAACCATCTAGTTTGATCAGTATTGTATTATTTCTCCTCATTAAAGCTCAGAGGTTTCTAATTTGGGTTATGTGGGAAGAAAGCATAAGATCTATCACCCAATAAACTGTGGTCCTAGTGGGAGGTAAGGGTTGCAGATTTAGAGCCTTCACTACGAAAGAAGACTCAGTGATAATAGTAAGCCTGGTCTTCACGGTGGCTGAAAGCTTCACAAATCCATGGGCTTTTTGACCTACACGTGATCTTAGAGATTATCTAGTCCACTCTTTTCATTTTACACCACGGACAGGGCGGTAGCAGGGAACAGTGAAAGGACGGAAGATCACTTGTCAGAGGGCACTTAGCTAGTTAATAGCAGAGCTAAGACTCAAATCTAGGCCCTCTGACCCCAAGTCCAATGTTCTTCCCATCAGCTTCTATACAGGATAAGACAGTCAGTACACCTCCTCATTGTGAAGCTGGGTTATGGCTAATCTATAGTTATGGCTAATCTCTATCCTGAACTTTAACCTCAAGACAGTTGAATCTTGAGATTAAGTGCACTTTTGTAGAGGAAGATCTATGGCAGAGGAGGAAGTATTAGACATTTTGAGAGCTAATGAAAGCTAATAAGAGCTTTTGCTCTTAAGAATCACAGAAACCTGGCAAACAATCCTATTCCTCTAAAGAGGCTATGGGTAAAGTGTGACCCCGGGATGAATGCTACATTTAACGATGTATTAGGTGCCAAATAGACAAGATGGTAACTGGAGATGACTAGTCCATCGGCTGACAGATTTCCTAAACCTGTTTTAGAAGACAACCCAAGATGGTTTTCCATTGGTAAAAGCCCTCAGTGTTTCCCCCAAGGGGTTCTAATGACGCTAAAGCAATCACTCAATCAGATTTCACCTGCACTGCTTCCTGTCATACACATGAACCAGGGAAGTAAATTAAATTAAACTTGGGGGAAATGGGCAACCTGGCCCTTGAAATGTACTCACTGAACAATTTCCAGTAGACATTCCTGTAAAGGCAGACAAAATGCCTACAAGACCACCAATGAGTCTCTAACTCTGCCTGGAAAGGCAAGGGAGCACAGCTAAGCCAAAATGCTAAGGTTCTCCCACAGAATTCCATCGGGATCAGAAGGCCAATTTTTGGTTTGTTATCATCACTGTTAATGAACTGATTTCAGAACATGCAGCAAGCTTGGCATGGAATAGGTGCAAACCACAAAAATAGGCTAGCAGCGGGCTATATCCCCACCTTCCCAGTCTGTGCTGGGGACAGACGGTATTGCTGGAAACACATCTCCAAAATCATAATCTACAAAAATGAGGGACAAAACTGAGGATTAGAAACACAGGCCATTGGAACGAGGAGGGGAAGGAGCAGGTCAAAGGGGAGGGGAACATGGGGAGAAAACATGAGAGAGAGAAAAAATTTAACTTTTTACATTTCATCTAAAATTTCAGAACAATTTGCTGGCAACCCCAGCATGGTAACAGGTTAGCTACTCCCTGGACCAGGTAACTGGCATAATCGACCTGGGAAACATTAGAAAGACCTACAGGGTTTAAGAAAAAAAAGTCAAACACAGACACACATACACATACACACACACATTCACACATATGCAAACAAACTACAAAATAAACATAAATATATAAAAAATAAATATAAAAACAAAATATAAAATGAATACTACTTGACTTTGGCAGAAAATGAGCTGTCAGGACTTGGGTCCATGATTTATAGGATTACAGACTTAGAGCTGGGAGGAACCTTAGAGATTACTGAATACAACCCCCTCTTTTTGCAGATGGGGAAAGTGAGACCCAGAGAAGTGCCCAAGGTCACTTGCCCAGGTAGTGAGGGGGTAGAACCAGGATTCAAATCCAGGTCCTCGGATTCTAAATAACAACAGTGTACTTCCTCCATGTTTTGACCTCTCCTAAGGACCCTGCCACAAAGGGAGTGATCCTGGTGTCTTTGGCAAATTTCCCTTTGGGGTTGGCTTTTAAGGCCCATCCCTCTGTCTCCTTTCTGGCAGATTATTTTCCTCATTGCCCACTGATTCAACCTAAAAAGATTTAGGTAGGTCCTCGTGGCTCACACAGCTAGCAGAGGCGGATTCTATGCTAGGGCCATCCTCAGGGACTGAACTCATTTTGAACCCCTCCCTCTGGTCCTGGAGTTGGATGAGGTTACCAGGGAGGGGTAGGTTCCCTGGTATTAAACTGGGTAGGTGGCAATGCCAGTAGATCGCTTTTGTAAATGAACAAGAAACTCAAGGGTCTGAAAGGAGTCAGGTTGCAGGCAAGTAAAAAAAAAATTTTTTTCATCAAAAAGAAAAAAAAAAATCACCCATAATCCTGGCAACCAGCCTCCCTAGTCAGCATGAGGAAGTTTTGGGTTTTTTAAATATATTTAAAATTTTTTTTTATTCCAAATTCTCTCCTTCCCTTCACCCCTTTCCCCACCCATTGAGAAGGCAAGAAATATGATACCCATTATACACATGAAGCCAGCATGAGGAAGATTAAGAGAAACTGAGTGGGCTGATAATTTTCACAGGTGGATAGATTTTTCTGAAGCCCCTAACCTACCTGGTTTAGTTGCAACCCTTCCAGGGAAGGGTTTGATCACTTCTTAGCCAAAATGAGACAACTTTCCTGGGACAAAGTGGGGTGCCATCCCTATGATGGCAATTCACCAGGCAAGATTCCCAGAGATTCAGGCCCCTGAAGTCCCCTCTTAACCACAGTCAGCCCTACAGACCTATAAGCGTGAATCTGTTCCCATCCAGGCATACACAACCCTCCTCCCAAATCTCCCAAATCAGAACCTGTTCCTTTGGCCTCCACAGGGCCTCTAAGTGAGAGAGCACCGTCCATCAGACTCTTGGCCCTAACTGGAGCTGATGCAGACTGCCAAGTTGTTCACCAGGCCACCACAGTGAGCCACGGAAGATGCCCCCATGCCCACGCTGCCTTTAGAGGAGTCCAGTTTTACAGCAGAGCTCTGCCTCCTTCCCACGGCCGGCCATGTCACTGACCCTCACTAGATGGTGCAATGGCGCTGTCATCCCATTCCAGGTTGGTGGAGGTGACTGAGTTGAAGGAGTTGAGAGACAGGCTGTCTGAGCCATGAACTGAACTAGGCAGGCGGTCTTCAAAGTCCAACAGATATTGAGGTTTATAGTAATCGGGCATGTAGGGAGCCAGATCTAAATACGGAGCATCCTGAGGAGAAAGCAATATGTAGGAGGGAGTTAGGCTTGGAGCTGGCTGGAGAGCCTGGTCCTATCCAGGAAGCTGGGGACAGATAGGGCTGGAAGATGCTGACCTACTCGACCCTTCCAACCTCCCCTGATGTCCCTTCTGGTCTAGCTCTGTTTCTTCCTTGGGAAAACCAATCAATAAACATTTATTAAGTGCCTACTATGTGCCAGGCACTGTGCTCACCAATGAATAGGCCCATGGTGGTAGATTCTGACAACCTCTGCTAGGGTGGGCCATTGGGCTTTTAAAGCTTCAGAGGACCTGGGGTAATGAGGATAACCAAGCTCATCAGAACCAAACATTCCATAAACCACCTTGTGGGACAGCTACACAGACTCTTGGTGTTACTATCATCTTATAAGAATCCTGACCCAACAGAACATGCTGTTTATTAAACACCTAGTGGGGGCCAAGGCACTGTGCTGGGTGCTGGGAACCACCAGCCACTGTCTTCTAAGAGTTTCCATTGTATTGGTAGGGGATCCAGCCTGTTAAGGATGTAGACATGCTAATCTGAGGGGTAGAGAGAGCACTAACAACCAGGGGGATGTGGAAAGACTTCCTAAAGGAGGTAGCCCAGGGTCTAAAAGGTAGGAAGGTACTCTGGGCAGGAAGGGCGGCATACAATAAAGGCCACTAGTGGGAGATGGAAGGCTGAATTCAGGCAGTCAGCAAACAGGCCAGTCTGACTGGACTGCAGAGAACATGAAAGGGACCATGCAGCCAGCCAGGAAAGGTGGGGTGAAGCCAGCTTGTGAAGAGCCTTCAGTGACAAGTAGGGGAGTTGGTCCTTTATCCAAGAGGCATTTCCCAGCCCAGGATGCTCTCCCCCTTGCCTAATAATAGCTAATGATAATTGCCAACATTTCCATCACACTTGCAAGCTCAGCAAAGTATTTTGCATATATTATCTCATTGACTCTTCACAATAGTCCCGTGAGGTAGGTGCTATTATTATGCTCATTTTAGAGATAAAAATAACAACAGTCTTTATAGAGGGTTTTAAGGGTTTGCAAAGCACTTTCCATAGGTTATCTCATTTAATCTTCCCTGTAGGGTCAGTGAAATTATCCCCATTTCATAGATGAGAAAACTGAGGCACAGAGAGGTTAAAACTTAACCCAGGATTACACAGCCAGTATGTGATCAGGGGCAGGGCCTGAACTCAGGTTTCTCTGACTCTGACGCCAAGCCTCTCTGACCTTCTGATGCTGGTACCCTCCCACCATAGTCTAAACAGGCTCTGGTGACCCTGGACAAGTCACTTAACCCCGATTGCCTCACCCAAAAAACAAAAACAAAACTAAACAAAATAAATAAATAAGTTCTCCACGGTGGGGGAATTAGGGGGTAGGGAGAACATGAAAGTCAGCTTGCCTCTGCCAGCCCCTCCCATTTTAATTTCTTACTTTACCGTACATTCCCATGACCCGGGATATGTCCTCACCAGATCCAAGTCAAATCGGATGAACTCCAGCCCAGATACCAGGGTCAGGAAGAGTGTCAGATGGTCATGGCTACAGACCAGAGCATTCCTGAAACACAGGTAGGCAGGTGGGCTGAGTGCCAGAGAAGTTTGGTCCAACTCAATGGCAGAGGAGACTAGCTTGGTCTAAGCCTGTGACCCTAAGGGGGACACCCTACCCCATCCTCCCCACCCAATTGCTGGATTGCTTTTGTCTTCTTTCTCCCAGTGGGACTGAAACTGTGACCCAGCCCATGGGGGATACAGCTCAAAACTCAACAAGACCCTGAATTCTAATGCTGCCCACCTTCCCCCCCAACCCCTCCAAATCTGGTGAAGAATACATGGAAAGAATATAAAAGAAACTACATGGAAAAACTTCAGAGCTCTGATCCATGCACTGTTTGAACATGACTTCAGATCAAATGGCAAAGCATGCTTCCCGCCTCTCATCAACAGAGAGGTGGGAGGCTGCAGGGGTGGAGCAAGGCATACAGTGCCAAATGTGGCCACTGGGTTGATTGTTTTTGTTTAGATACACTTCATTATATGACAGAGTTCTATTAGGGCAAGTGGGAGGTGGGGGGTGGGAGATGTTGGGAAGAAACATACAAGAGAAGGTTCATAGACTTAAAGTTAAAAAAATAGACTTTAGAGGTCATGGAGGAAACTGATGCCCAGGAAAGTTAAGTGACTTGCCAAAGGTCGTTGTGGGAGTCAAATCGAAAGGATTTGACAAACCGACTGACCTGAGGGGAGGAAAGGGAAGAGGTGAAGAGGATTCTGGCACCGTAAGTCTGGGTGACTGGGAAGATGGGGGTGCCCACAACAGAAAAACAAGTTTTTCTTTTTTCTTTTTGGAGGCAATCAGTGTTAAGTGACTTGCTCAGGGTCACATAGCTAGTAAGTGTCTGAGGCTAGATTTGAACTCAGGTCCTCCAGACCCCAGGGCGAAACAAGGAAGTTTGGAAGAGGGGTGAGGTTGGGGGCAAGACGAAATATATTTTAGATTCCCAGGCAAGCCCAGGAGACCTAAACCACTTGAGAAATGCAACAAGGGGGTCTAGGCCTTTGGGTTAAGTCAACAAGCATTTATTAAGTGCCTACTATGTACCAAGCATCATGAGAAATGATAGGGAATATACAGAAAGGCAAAAAACTAGTCTCTGATCTCAAGGAATCCACAGTCTAACGGAGAGATAACTTGCAAAACACTACGTGTGGACAAGTTATAGACAGGATAGAGTGGAGATAATCCAAGAGAGAAGGCTCTAGCACTAAGAGAGACTGGGAAAGGATCCTTGCAGAAGGTGGGATTTTAGTGGGGACTTGAAGGAAGTCCAGGAAGTAGAGATGAAGAGGGAGAGAATTCCAGGCATGGGGCACAGCCAGAGAAAAGACTCAGTGTCAGGATATGGAAATGTCTTATGTGAGGAATGGGAGTAAGGTGTAAGAAGATCAGAAAGGGGAAAGGGAGCTGGGATTTGAAGGGCTTTATAGGCCAAAGAGTGGGTTTTGTATTTGATCCTGGAGGCAATAGGGAGCTACTGGAGTTTATTGAGTTGGAGGTGACCTGTGCTTTAGGAAAATCACTTTGGTATCTAAATGGAAGATGGATTGGAGTAGGGAGAGACTAGAGGTAAGCAGACCCTTCCCCCTTCCCCAGCAGCTATTGCAATAATCCAGATGTGAGATGATGATCTGCACCAGGGTTGGGGTAGTGTCAGAGGAGAGAAGGGGGCATATTCAAGAGATGCTACAGAGGTGAAAGACAAGAGATGTTGGGAGGTGAAATAGACAAAGATGCTGGGAGGTGAAACAGACAAAGATGCTGGGAGGTGAAACAGACAGATTCTGGGAAGTGAAACAGACAAGAGATGCTGCAGAGGTAAAAGACAGATGCTGAGAGCTGAAATAGCTAAGAGGTGCTGAGAGGTGAAATAGACAAGAGATGCCAGGAGGTGAAATAGACAAAGATGCTGGGAAGTGAAACAGACAAGAGATGCTGCAGAAGTGAAACTGGATAATTCTTAGCAACAGACCAGATATGGGAGGAGAGAAAGAGGGAGGAATCCAGGATGCCTCCTAGGCTGTGAGCTGGAGGGATGGGAGGGATGGGAGGGATGGGAGGAATGGAAGTTTGGAGGAGTGGGGAGGGTTTTGAGGGAAAGATAATGAGTTCTGTTTTGGACATGTTGAGTTTAAAGTGTCTACAGGAGAAGAGGCACAGGAGAGATGTGACAAAGCTAGAGAGCCCAGCAGCATCCCCGGCAAGGGAGAGCAGAGAGTGTTCAATGCTTGCTAATATTGTTTCTTCTCAGGTGCCTGATCCCAGGTTCTGACCTGGGGACTGACTGAGGGGGTTTTGCCTTGTGAGAGGGAGGCCTGGGCATTTAAGGGATCTTGGGGGGCTCACCATCTCAGAGGGGTGATATGCATGGAGGTGTGCAACATAGACCTACAGGTACTCACTTGACATAGTATTTGTGCAGGAGGCTCAGATTCTCCTGGAACAGCCGCAGGTAGCTCTCCAAGGAGTTTTCGTTGAGGGCCAGGTACAGCCAGGCCCGGCCTGCAACAAGGGACAGACATGACCTCTAATTCTGACTGGGGAGGGAGTTAGGGGACCAAGGGGGAGCAGAGAGAGGGCATCAGGACCAGCACGTCACAGATTTAGACCTGGAGGGGACCCAACAGGTCATCTCATCCACGCTTCTTGTTTTACAGACAAAGTCTGAGGACCAGGGAGATGACAGTTTGCCCAATGCCACATGGGTAGAGTAGAGGAGTATTACTGCATAGTAGCAGAGGTGATCTCTGAACCCAGGTCTTTCCAGGGACCCAGATTTCAAACACACTAACATCCACTGCTACTGGTCAGTAGACTGAGGGGTAAGGGGGACTGCCCAGCTCATAAGGATTAGGAGCTGAAAATGACTCTCAAAACTCCTAGTATCTTCCTAGCTTAGGAAGAGAAATCTTTCTTAACTTGGGGTATAATCATAGAGTTAGAGCTGGAAAAGACCTTAGAGGTCATCGAGTTCCCAACATCTTCATTTGACAGATAAGGAAACTAAGGCAAAGAAAGCTTGGAAGGTAATATCAATGCAGTTTTGTTTAGCACCTCACTTGTCCAACCAATCTTCCACCAGGACTCATATGGGGAGGAGAACAGGGACTCTGGGGTGAGAGCCTTTCAAAGGGAAGGAGTGAGCCCGGAACAAGTGCCTGGCACAGCCTATCCCCCAGCCCGCCCACCTCTAAGCTGTACTCACTGCGCCCCAGCTTGGTGGTCACATGCTGCAACACCTCAATCTGTTGGATGGCTTCCTTTCGGGTGAAGTGCACCACCAGGACCCAGTAGCCAGAGGAGAGATCCTGCAACCTGAGAGAGAGCCATGGGACAGGCGCTGGTGGTGGACCAGACCAGCCGCTGGCTAGCTACAGTGGCCACCAGACCCATCAGGCCCAAACTCACAGCAGAGAGTTTAAGGGATACTGAGGTGCTCTGGCCAAAATCAATTTGTGCATGGAATGGGATATTACTGTGCCTTGAGAAATGATGAATAGAAGGAACCCAAAGAAACAGAGGAAGACTTACATGAACTAATGAAGTTAAACAGAACCAGGGAAACTATGCACCATGATTACAACAACGTAAATGGAAAGGACAAAGACAACAACAAAAAAGAATTGAGAGAATGCTATGAAATTATAATTATAATTCAGTCTTGACTTTGAAGAAGAGGGAAAACACTATTTCCCTCCTTTTACTGCAGAGGTGGGGGCACTATGGACATGGAATACTGTATATATCATCAGATGCCATGGATGTGTTGGTTAGTTTTGCCAATTTTTATTCTTCACTACCAGGGATGGCTTTCTGCAGAGGGAGAAGGGACAGAAAGATACATTTGGAAACGAAGGCCATGTGAAAACAAAAGATATCAACTAAAAATTTTTTAAAAAGCAAATGTCAAATCCAACATTTAAAAAAAATTACACCTTGCAGAGAGACACCATGGATGCCAAAATATTTGTACCCACACTTCTTTTTTTTTTTGTAGTAGCAAAAGGTTGGAAAAAAAGTGAGTGCCCAACAATTGGGGAGTGGGAGAACAAACCCGTTGTATGTGAATGTCATGGAATATTTTACTGGGCCATAAGAAATGTGGAAGACGAGGAATTCAGAGGGCCATGGAAGGCCTTGTTGATCAATTTGTAAGACACAAGACAGGGTAAAGGAATGAGACCCAGAAGAATAACATACAAATTGGCAATGCCCACAAAGACAATGCTGAGAGGCAGCTGAACTCAGATGAACAGATGACCAATCCTAGTCCCAAAGGATGGATGATTAAGGTGGGGGACCATGGGAGCAGAATGCTGAATATGCTGCCGGATGCAAATATTTTGCTGGTCAACTTTGCTTACGTGTTTTTATTTGTGAAAAGGAAACACACACACACACACACACACACAAAAGTATCATAAGCTCACTGATCAAGGGCTGGAAAAAACCATAGAGGTTGTTTAGTACAATTCCTCATGTTACAAATGAGAAAACTGAAGTGACTTGCCCAAGGTCACACAGGTACTAAAGGGCAGAGCTGGGATTCACACCTAGGTCCTCTAACTCAATAAAATTTGCTTTCTTTCTTTTTTTTCTTTAAATAAATTTTCATTGCTATCTTTTATTTTTACTCAATAAAAATGTAAATGAAACATATCAATTCTCGCTGAATAGAGGCCAGAGAATCCCCTCAAATGCCTTAGATACCCACACCTCCCCCAGTCCTTTGGCTTTGCCCCCAAAGGCATTTCACAGAGATAAGAGCAGGAAGGCAAAAATGTTCACATGTCCTTCAGGTCCCTTCCCGTGGGGAGAGCAATGCCTGGCAGACACTGCTAACGAGTTATTTCTGGAGGTTGCTCCGCCCCCCCTCCCCAGCCCTTCTCTTCACGCATGCCTCACGACTGACCCATAAAGCAGAGCGTGGTCCAAGTGCTCACAGAGACGCTGCAGGACCTTATCGTGATTTCGGATGGCCGGGGTCTCGTCTTCACAGGCAGCAAAATAACTCTGCAACTGGAAGAGAGAGAAAACAAAACAAAACAAAAACAAAAACAAAAGCCTAGAATTAGCTATGGATACAGAGATTCTGTTACTGAGGCATTTATAGATTCTCAGGAGCTGGAAGGGTCTCAGAGGTCATCTTGTCTCCTGAGTGGGAATCTCCACTAGGACATCAATCATTTTACCAAAAAGCATTTTTTAAGCACAGTGCTAGGGCCTGGGATTACACTCAAACACAAGTGAGACAATCCCTGCCCTCAGAGAGCTTACATTCTACATCTCTGGCAAGTGCTTATTCAGCCTTGCCTGAAGAAGCCCAGGGAGGGGGAACCCACCAGCCTTCCGGAGGCAGACCTGAATTTCTGAACAGTTCTAAGATGTTAGGGAGTTTTTTTTCCTTACATCAAAGCTCCTTCTGTGTCTTTCATCCATCTTCATCACACCCTCTGAGGCCAGTGGAACCAAGTTAATACAAAGTTTTCCATATGAAGTCCTTCAAATGTTGAAAGACAGCTGCCAGATCGCCACTAAGCCTTCTCTTCTCCAGGTGAGATACCCCTAGATCCAAGAAGCTATATTCTGGCACCACATCTAGCCATCTCTTTACTACAGCAAAGTCTTTAGTCAATGTCAAGTCACCCAATGTTCTGAGGTCTCCTTAGACACTCATTCAGGCAGGTCTCAATTGTTGAGGATGGTAGGAAAAATTAAACCCACAGATACAATCAAAGGAGGAATTCCATTCCGTCCCATTTAAAATGCTATAGATGGCTGGGCATGGTGATGCATGCCTGTAATCCCTACTATTTAGGAGGGGGCCAAGGCTGGTAGATCCCTTGAGGTTGGCTGTTCTGAGCTGTAACAGGCCTAAAGCCAATTAGGTGTCCACACCAATATGATGAGCCCCAGGACAGCCCCAGGAGCAGAGGCCCACCAGGTTGCCTAAGAGGGGGCAAACCAGAGCAGGTAAGAATGAGAGAGCAGGTTAAAGCTTCCACACAATCAGCATCAACATTGGGCCTGGCCCAAGTTAAGATAGGGAGATCCAGGATCAAATAAATGAAATATTTTAAATAAGATAACAAATAATAACATGGAAACAGAGATTCTGTTACTGAGGCATTTATAGCTCAGGAGTTGGAAGGGTTCTCAGAGATCATCTTGTCTCCTGAATGGGAATTAATAATTAATTATATAATCATAAATATTATAAATTATAAATATATTATAATATATAATTAAAATAATAAATATAAAATACTAAAATAATATTAAATAAAATCAAATACTTAAAATGCTATAGAGTCTGGAGGACTTATGATAAAGCATCCTGACTGACCAAGGTACAGAATGAGACATATTTTTGAATACGGTAAATATGTGGATTTGTTTTACTTGATTTACGTTTATTTGTTACAAGGGAAGGTTATTTTGCAGGGGAGAGAAAAATAGGGAGAGAAGAGATTAATGATAGGCATAGGGCTTGGACCTGTGATTTCACTGAGACAGGAACTTCGGGATGAGGAAATACCTCCTACCAATACAGATTGGTATTTTATAACTTACGAGCCTTAGAGTTGCCGAGGGCAGTGCTTTTCCAACTTTTTGTCTTAGGACCACTTTATACTCTTAAAAAATTGAGAGTCTCTATGGGGCAGCTACGTGGTGGCATGGATAGAGCACCAGCCCTGGATTCAGGAGCACCTGAGTTCAAATCTGGCCTCAGACACATAACATTTACTACCTGAGTGACCCTGGACAAGTCACTTACCCCCACTGCCTAGCCAAAAAAAAAAAAAAAAAAAAATTGAGGGTCTCCCCAAAGAGCTGTTATATGTGTGTTATATCTATCAAAATTAGAAATTAAAACATCCTAGTAATATTATAAAAATAATTTTGACTTCATGGACCTCTGCAGTCTCAGGACTTTAAGGGGCACCCAGACCATACTTTGAGAATCGCTGACCTAGGTACTGAAGGTCAAGTGACTTGTCCTGGAGTACAAAGCCAGTTACATGTCAGAGATGGGACTGGAAGCTAGGTCTTTTGGGTGCAAGGCCAGCTTTCTAGTTACTACTCCATATTTCCATTTATGGGGCCACTAGGTGGCACCATAATGTATAGTGTGTCAGATCTGGAGTCAGGAAGACCTGAATTCAAATGTGACCTCAGACATGTACTAGCTGTACGACCCTAGACAAGTCACTTAACCCTCTTTACCTCAGTTTCCTCATCTGTTAAATGAGCTGGAGAAGGGAAAGGCAAACCACTCCAGGATTTTTGCCAAGAAAACTACAAATGGGGTCATGGAGAGTTGGACATAACTGAAATGATTCAAAAACAACACTACTACATATAAAATGAAAGATGGAAGGAGAAAGAGGAGAGGGAGCTAAAGGAGGAGAAAGAGGAGGAGGAGAAAGAGAAAGAGAAGAAAAGGAGGGGGAGAAGAAAGAAAAGATTGCCAATAAATCATTAAAAAAGACATATAGAAGAAAACAGGAAGTTTAGAGGGAGACAGACAAGCAGGACAGCTTTGGAAATAAAGTGCTGACTTTATTATATGTTTTTAAAGAACTATGGAGTCCGAATGCAGATCGAAGCATATTGTTTTCACTTTTTTTGTTTTTTCTTTCTCATGGTTTTTCCCTTTTATTCTGATTCTTCCTTCACATGACTAATGTTGGAAATGTTAAACATGATTGTACATGTATAATCTTTATCAGATTACTTGCTATCTTGGGAAGGGGAGGGAAGAGAGAGAGAGGGAGAAAAATTTGGAATTCAAAATTTAACAAAAATAATGTTGAAAACTATCTTTACATGTAATTGGAAAAAAATAAAAAATACAAATGACACATAACAGAGATTCATCATGTTATATACAATCCTCTTTTTCTCTTCTTTGCATATGAAAATGCTTGTTGAATTCAGAATAAAATTTTTTTAATTGCTATAAAAATTGGAATTGTGTTGATTCCAACTTTGCTCATCTGAGATTTGTAAATTTCTAAAGGGCAGGGCCCATCGGCTTTATCTGCTCTGTATGTTATCATGCCCTGGGAGCCACCCAAGTGCTCGGAGGGACAATGATGACTGTGAAGTGAAAGGGTGGATTCCAAATCCTTGCCCTGGGGTAGGAGGGAGGCAGCTGCTTCTCTGCAGGGTTAATGGAAGATGTTCCATAAGCGGTCTCTTTCCAACAGCTGACAACTGGAGAGACCATGGGTGAGTGTGTCTATTTGAAGGAAAGAAGATCAGATCCAGGCAGGGACCTGGGTGTGTGCCAGACTCATGAACCTGCTTGTCTGGGTGGGGTAGGGCCAGTGTTGACAGAGGAGATGCTAACTCAGGATTGTAGATCCTGAAGAACCAGACCACTGGGTGGAAATCCCACTGACAAAAAAGGCTGACAAAAGCACTCTGATCAAAGCACAATTCCAAACTATTCGGTGGAGTTCTCCCATACAGCCCCAGGAGGGTAGAGATGAGGACAGGGATTCCCCAAAGAAAGGTCCCGGAATAAAGGAGTCCCCCTCCATCTCCCCATAGGTTTCTCCTGTTCTTCTGGGCTACATCTGATGGGACAGAAGACTAATGGAGAGACCAGGAAGAACTCCGGCCATTGGTCACTCAGGCCCAGCAAAGGTCTTCTTCTGTGTCTCCTGGAGGCCATCACCAGTGGTAGTCAAGATAAATCCACTGCCCCTACCCCAAGTGCTGGCTCCTAGAATGGGGCCGGCCATTCAACCCCTAAAACAAATGTAGTTTTTCTTCTTCCTGCCCCAGCAAGGTCCAGCCTCTCGCCAACTCAAGACGAAGCTGTTAGCCCTGGCTGGGGCCGACCAGGTCCGGGGAGATTCCAGTTCAAATCGAGGAGCCAGCAAGGGATGATGGGTTGGGCCAGGATCCCAGCACAAAGAAAGTAAGAGCAAAAGAGCCTGTGGGAACCCCTGAGCATTTCCCTTTTAGCCCCGACTCAAAGTGCTCCAGCGCTGGACTGTCAGAGACACATTAAGTTTGCTGCAAGGATTTCAGAACAGGGTGGAGGTAGCCAGGGGTCCTGCGAATCTGCCAAGTGAAATCATTTCAAGCCAGCCCCAGAGGGCTCCCCAGAAGTCACACTGTGTAAAAAAAAGTCGTGGGGCAGCTAGGTGGCATAGAGCTCTGGTCTTGGAGTCAGGAGGACCTGAGGTCAAATCCAGCCGCAGACACTTGATGCTTACTAGCTGTGTGACCCTGGGCAAGTCACTTAACCCTGATTGCCTCACCAAAAAGTAAAAAAAAAAGTTGTGTGGTTTGGATTGAAAACCTACAAACTATGAGGTAGCAAAGCATTGTGCTTAGAACACCAGGAGTGGGAATCAGAGTATTTGGGTTCGGATCCTCGCTCTACCACTATTCCCCATGTGACCTGGGCTAAGTCACAGACTCCCTGGATCTCCGTTTTCTCCTCTGTAAAATGGGGATGAGAACAGCACCTACCCTGCAGCGTTGTTGCAAAGATCAAATGAGATAATATTTGTAAAGTACTTAGCAAAGTTGGGGCACACAGTAGGTGCTTAATAAATGCTTATTTCTTTCCCTTCCCCTTCATCCACGCCATGATCTTCAGTTATCTCAGGGAAGTGAGGCAGCCTGGGGGCAGGGAATGGAGCTCCAGGTTAGGAGTCAAAGTTTTGGGTTCAAGTACTGCTTTGGTCACTAGCTGAGTGACCATAGGGAAATCAGTAAACCTTTCCATGCCTCTGGCAACTCCCTAGGACCTATTCACCATTACTTATCTTACTAAATCATAGAAAGATCCTGCTTTAATGAGTCTGTGATGTCATCAATCCAGGGGACCCCTCCAATGATGGAGACTGCTCTTTGAGTGCCACTCACATCCACCTCCTACCAAAATTCTGACACAGGGGTGGCATGTTGTACCCAATACGCTAGAGGCCTCTTTCACTTTCTCCTGAAATACTAAAGGAATCGTGGGGCAGCTGAGACTGTCCATCTATTATCCC